TCAAAATATCTATATGCTGCAATACACATGCTTTGTCTTGTTCCTCCCTCCTTAAGGTTTCTGTCCTCCTCGCATCCGTCTGAATAGCAGGACTTGGTTGCAGAGGTGGGAGGTGGATTAAGTAGGACGTTGGTGTGATCTGTCGGGCTGTTAGGGGTGGGAGCAAGTTTGTGTGAAGGAGAGAGGAAAACTGAGGCAAGAAAGTGTTTGAGTGTGTGAAGGGATACAGAGAGAGGGAGACTGTGTGTCTTTAAGGAATTAATAACATGTAATCTGCAATATTGCAAGTTATCTGTGTCACATTGTTCATACAGATTTCCTGTTTCTGTGTCAAGTCTGTTCCACCATGCAGAAGATGAGTGGACAGACAGAGGGTGCATAAATCGAATATATCTGCACGGACCAGTGGCGGACTCAGGCTGTCTGAGGAGAACGGGTGAACAAATAAAAAGGGCACCCTATAAGGCACGCCCTGAGGCTCAGGAGGCAGACTGGGTCGCACACTAATCAGGAGGTTGTGGGTTCAATCCTTTGCTCCTCCAGCTGCATGCCCTTGAGCAAGATACTGAGCCCCAAAGTGCTCCCAAGGCTGTCATACCTGTGTGAATAAATTAGTTTCTGTTTGTGATGGCCTCTACCATCAGTGTATGAAAGGGTGAATATGGCATGGAGTGTAAAGCACTTTGAGTGGTCAGAGGACTTGAAAGGTGCCGTGTAAGTACAGCCCATTTACCGTTTTCTCCACTGGAAGGGCACCCTAGAGGGCACTTTATCATATGTGATCCACTATAGGAGAAGTCAACCACAAGGGATGGAAAGCCACTGCCACAACGGTAACATCATCATGTCATGTTCAGTATTTTTTTTTTTTTTTTAAGACAGGAAGGCGTCCCAAAGAGGACACAGCCCAGGATTACAATGCAAGGCAGGAGAGAGTCGCGTACAGCCTCAGCCTATGATAAAGGCTGACTGCAAACAGCAGGAGTCTCGTAATGGAAAACTCTGCCTGCTCCACTCATTGTACCGCACCGTAGTGGCGTTTGCGTCCTGCGGCTCGCCACTCTTTTAATTTTACGTGTGACCCTGTTAACTGGACACTTCTTTTCGGCTAAAAGATGCAGGCATTATCTCGCTATTACCCTTACGAAATAATTAGAAAGAACAACATGGCAATAATACCGCATACCGCACTGTTGAGGCATCCTAAAGGAGAAGGCACTTTTGCTGCATTATTTTTTTCTTCAAGGAATTCAGAAATGCAATTTAGCCAAAATGCAAGATGTGACAGATTTATGCCTTTTGTGCTCTTTTTATCCCTGGTTTGGTCCTCACATGCCGCCACTGCCCCTTTTGGTATGAGGATTTGTGTTTTTCATCCCTGCCCCTGAAAGTGTCTGCAGAGCTCAGAGCCTTTAACTACTGTGTTTATTACTGTAACCCCTCCTACAGGCATGAAGTGAAGTGCCTCAAATGACTTCTTACGGCTATCTACCACCCTCTAGTGGGACTTGAAGGGAATAACTCGAGACAACTGTGTCACTTCCGTGGGTTAAAGTAGAAGTAGTTCAATTTTGTAGAAATAAGTTTAGTTAGTCTCTGGTTTGAGATATTTCAGCAATCTAGCAGACAGAACAGCAGCACAATATCACTGTCATTTGCAGTGACTGAATGAATACGCCTCAACATGGACAGAGACAAAAGGCTTGTCAAGTAAAGCCTTCTTGAAGAAACCCAGTGTTAATTTAGCTTTACTTAAAATTCAATACTGAATTCTATGCACTTTACTTCATTCAAAAGTTCAGTGAGGGAGATTCAAAGCAGGTTTTTGTAGCTTAACCTACTACAACACTTTCTGCTCACAGTAAATGATATATCTTGTATATATGTCTGTATACACTAAATGCATTATCATAAATGTATTACCTTTTAAATTAGTTTATTTGAAAATAAAAATTACCTGAAAAATATATAAATGGCACAAAGTAAACCGCACAGGTTCAACCTTCTTTATTGGTTAGACTGTGAAACAAATTTAATAGAATAATTTAATAATACAATTAGGCTTCATTTCGATGGAATCAAGTCGGATATCCAGAGATCTCCTCTTTACAGCGAGTCTGCTAACAGCTGCCAGTGTTAGCAGCCTAGTTAGTGAATTATGATGCTGGGAGTAATGAGGGGAAGTATTGGTCAGATAAAGGCAGGCATTGCTTATCTATACACCAAGTCTAGTCCAGTCATAAGGAACATTTTAGTTTAGGCAAATGTGACAAAAACAGCAGAAGGTATGTTTACTTTTACAACTAACACCAACCATCAAATGTGCTGCTGTAAATGTGGTTCTTAAAAGCATGGCCAGCTTTATATAAGGATACATGAGGTCATCCTTCCCTTTCTTCGTATTGATTGCTTTTCCCAGAGGCTGAACGTAAGTGAATGGACTCTTGAGTGCTTGTACTTTACTTAAGTGTTTTGAATATTTCCACAAGTTACATTAAAGTCTGCTACATTATTATCTATACTTACAAGTAGTATCTTTACATATTCAGATTTTATACAGAACATATGATCAGCTAGATTAGCACCCCTCGACTACAAAAAAATAAAAATGCTGCCTATGTATTCATGTTAATGCATGATAATAACCCAATAATGTTAAATAAAGAAATAAAACAATGTTAGGGGCCATTCTGTTCCTATAACAACTACTTTTACTAAGGGTTCGTACTTACTTACTTTAATATTTTGAATGGAAGACTTTAACTTGAGTACTTTTATACCATAAACATTTCTTCAATCCACTGTCTTTCTCCCACAGTCTGAACCTTTACAGTAAGTTTGTCTATAGAACTTATAGAATATTACTGCATTTTACATCCATCCCAGTGCAGGACACACTAAAGTTTCCCTCTCAGCCTAAAGACCAGCAGACCAGCCAGCACCAGTACAGTATCACCACTGGGTGAGATCCTGAAACATCAGTGTGACAGTGTGGACTTAATGAATAAACATGGCCTTTAGGTTGTATAGTGCACAGTGATTTACTAGATACCAATTCAGAATTTTTATCCTTACACATTTTTGTACAAACACCTACAGTTCAATCTGTGACTATCTAGAAAATACAACAGAGGAGCAAAAGACAACATTGTGAAACTGAAAGGTTTCAGGATCTCACCAAGTGGTCTACATACTAGAATTGAAGTATGAAAGCTGTAAGTCTCTTTAAATTCATGTTTCATTTGCTTAACATGTTTTAACCAGCATCTTTTTGTGTTAATATTTACTTCCATCCAATTAATACTATTGTTTTCATGGTTATCTTATGCAGTGCAGTACTTCTTAATAAGAGCCTGTAGGTGTCACTGTTATACTTGTTATCTGGCTGCTGCAGCTGCTATTGATTGTGTGAGCTGGAGGAGAAATTGTTATGATTGTTAGACAGGAAGAGACACTGCATTTTGGCAAAGGGACCATATGTGCATTTTACAGGTCAAATAAATGATTAACCTTGCAGTTTAACACTTCACACTTACTTAACACCTTTATGATAGTTTGCTACTTCCTATACTTATATATATACTTCATATATGATGTCACAGTTTGAGTTTTACTCTAGTCTACACACATATGAAATAGATTAAATTAACTGAGTAGGTTGCTCAGAACTGTACCTGGGTCTGAGAGGCTGAGAGCTGAGGTTAAATGTTGGGTCCGACATTCTGGAGAGAAATATTTGATTGTTGAGTCTTATTCCCAGGTAATCAAATACTTTGGGTATTTGACAACCTCAGAGCACACTCCGAGCAATCAACTATCTTCCTCCAGAATGACTGACCCCACCTTTAATAGATGGCAATAGAAGCTTAGTGAAAGATTTTAATGAGGCTGGTTTAACGACTGCTGCCAGTGCCAAGAATATGGTTTAAGGTTTGTTAAAGATGCAGGGACTTTAGGGGGTTGACGGTGATGACCATTATAGGTAAAGATAAGTTTAATGTAAAATAGTTCCCAGGCAAAGATGGTTTTGCTGTGAAACACTTCGATGTTGCAGCAGGGTTAGATTCATTGTGGATGAAAAGACAAAAGTTTTCTGACATCTGTCACACGCCAGTGCATGCCCTCCGCCCTCCAGACAATAAAGCTGTGGATAGGGGGTGGTGTCCAGTGGAAGAGGGTCAGGATCTTCTCCACTCTTCCTGTCCTTTTATTCTATGGTCTCTTCAGCTTTTTATTGGGTCTTTACATAACACAAATGGCCCTTTGGTTATTTACCAGTTTTACTTATTGGGATAAAACTATAAATTTAACAGTTTACTCCTTAGAGAAATAAAAAATGTGCGCAACGCTTAGTGCTCCATTCTTTTTTAATAATTTCTAGAAAGTTAACTGGAAAGGAATATGGTATAAGCTACGGGTAAAAGGCATAATACTGAGACTGGCAGTGAAATTTAAAAGCAGTTTCAGGCAGCTTTCCTTGGCAGAGCTGCTCAATTTAAACCAAAATAAAAATATATAACCATTCATTTATTATAGGAAACTTAATAAACTACTCTTCGTATATGTTGAATTGTATGCTTGCCTTTAAAGAAATTGCTCACTTTTGCATGTTCAGCTGAATTGCTGTCTATTAACAAAAAAAAAAGGCTCTAAGTTAATCAATTTGAAGTGTACCATCTGAATATAATGTGCCAAATTACATGGTTCTTTCAAGAAAACATCTTAGGAAATCATTAGAAAATTGTTATAAATACATGTACCAGTAAAATAAATATTTATCAAGGTCTGAAATGACCCGTCAAAAATTACACCTCTGGATTATCACTGGTTGAATGGACCAGAGTAAATGCAAATGCCTAGAAATAAAAACCTGGACCTGGTCAGTATATTTGTAAAGAGAAAACATCAACAGTCTTTTTTTATAGTATATTTTAGTGAATGATAAGGACACTCAAACCTCAAACAATTTTGAATTTCACAGACAAAAAGACAAAGTCAAGTTTGGTGTGATATCTTCATTTCCATGACACAACAGCCTTTAGTGAGGTAGACTATAACAGGTCAAGAATTAGAAACATTGCTCTTTAAACTGGCATGTGTAATGACATGAAATAAATATTTCCATGTACAATGTCTTCAAAATGAGGTAGAAATGGTTACAGAGACGGACTGTACAAGATACAACAAAAGTACAACTGAATTTCAAAGAAAACACTGAAATGCAATTTTCCATCTGTTGGACAAATTCAACTCCACTTACTTCAATGAATCAGAGTAATACCAAGAGACAGCAAATACTGTTGTTCGTTGCAGTGTGTAGGTTAATGTAGAGCACATTCTTTTTCTGTGGCATTGAAAGAGCGTTCAATTTTTGTAGCTAAGCGCTTAAATACTTTTTAAAATCTGAGAGTAAGAATACACATATTATTTGCGCAGCACTTTGTTATTAATCTGTATTTTTCCTTCAGCATATTTTGAAGCAAAATCCTTTTGTGTGATGAGGGTATCATTTCCACACAAAACCACATTCTGAGTACATTTAATTTTATGAATGTGCTTATATTTCCAAAAGAGGCATTAAAATACTTTTTTCATCACATTGAATTTCAGACTAAATCTGAAGCTGCATTTCAGCCTAAAGTTTTACTATTAAAGGGGATCCATTCTGGGCATGCTTTTAGGCAAGAGTTCGGTTTTGTTACAGGCCCCCAAAGGGCTTCATTTTGCAACAAAATAAAACAACTAAAACAGTATGGCACAACTTATGAAAGGATGGCATAGTGGAGCAACAAAGCCACAACTCTGTGAAAAAATGGTTTAACGTTGTAACTGTACATATTTTCTGACAGTGCACATACTTACTAATATTTAACTTCTTCCTTCTTCATGATGTCAATTCATGTTAGAGCTAAGTCAAGTTGATTGACTGGTGACACTGTGCCAAGCGGTTTTAGAATACTGATATGGGAAATGGAAATTGGACACATTAAGACATTTAATAAACATACTTAGCATAGAGCATATACTGTAGTATGTGTACATCTTGATATGTCAAAAGTTGTTTATCAGGAGTGCTTTGTTTTGACAGTTTGTCCACAAAACCGTTTCCCCACTAACTACACTAACACTTAACATGTCATTCATTTCTCCATCAAAACCTATAAGAGAATTACATCTATACATGAAGAAAATATGTTTCATATATCTAAAAACATCATTGATGTACATTATGGCATGTATTGTCCTTTTAAAAAAAATATCTGAATTACATTCAACATTTCAGGCCTTGGTACAAAAACCTCAAGTTTAATTTCCCAGAGCTACGAAGCAGTGTGGTTGGTGTGTGTGTGTGTGTGTGTGTGTGTGTGTGTGTGTATGTGTCTGTGTGTGTGTATGTGTCTGTGTGTGTGTGTGTGTGTGTGTGTGTGTGTGTATTTGTGTGTTTTGCACTGTAAGTATCAAAGGCCTTGTAAGTTCATCATTTCCCTGAAGTGTATCAGAGTTTTGCTCTTAATAAAAGCCATGGCTCCGTTTTCATCTCGCTCCATAAAGCTCCCTACAAACACCCTAAGGTAATAACATACATTCTTATTTATCATTCTGAGGTAACAATATTCTTCCTGAGTATTCAATAACACGACTATAATCATCCTTTTGAGAGGCAAAAGTAAAGAGAATGCATATAAAAAAAAGGTAAATCCTAGCAGACAAGCAGGTAGATCTTCATAAAGAATGTATTGTTGAGGCACTCACCCAGAAACATCCTCCACCGCAATCTGCATGGCTCTCAGTTTGGGCTGTGCATCCCATTGAAGTAACAAACAGGCTTACGCGTCTTTAAACTGTTGGTTCTGAGTGAATTTCAGCAGTACGCAGACTTAAGCATGATTGTTTGTATTTTTGGTTGTTTTCTAGATTTGTATAGTCTTTATTTCTTGAAATATTTTGAATAATAAAGACAGGGCGTAAGCTAGACTGTATTGTATTACATTATTCGCAGGTTCTTTAGAAAATATACCTGTTAGTTTTTCGGATCAGCAGAAATCTGCAAGTAAACAACACGCTTTGAAGATGATCTGCATATACTTCTATACTGTCATTGTGTGAATGCTAAATACATTTTTAAATGAACATAACATTTTCCCACTCTATCTTTACATCAAAACAATTTAAAGGGCGGCGTCATGTGTACTATATAATCATTTGATAAGCAGCTTGGTATGTGTAAACTATACGAAAAAAAAGTTCTTAAGCAATGAAAAAGGTTGAGAACAAGAAGCAGGACACCATGATAGAATAAGATCAAGAACATGAAAACAGGGGATTAAAGAAACTGAAAGAAAGTTGAGAAGGAGTAAAAGTGGGGCAATGGGGGGAAGTGTGAGATGAGCAGGGAAACATTCATTTCTCAAGGCCCAGTGACCCACCAGGCCTTGGAGTCAGCTGTGTAAAGTAGCAGTGATTGTGCTGAAGTAGTATGGCAATCTCACCATTTCAGTTATTGCTCTCCTTACTTTTTGGTCAGTAATGATTTTGTGGTGTGGTAGAACGTATTGCAGTCATAGGCCTTTCACATACATAATGGCCACAAATAATTACACCAACGTCTAAAACAGCAACGTTGCAGTACTGCTGCCACAGTAGCAGAACGGAAATAAATAGGATCCTGAGAGAAACAGACATCAGACAACTCATAAATGTAGACCGTCTTTATGCTGTCTATATAGAGAATGCCTTAACCTCACCCCTAAGACTTACCTCAACCTTACAGGGCAAAATGCCCTGTGAATCTTTGGAAAAACATGAATAATGAAAATGTTAAAGATGCACAAGAAATACCAGTCTTGTGCCCTCTTGTGTTCTCTAGTGAAATTAAACCTCTCATTGACAAATCCAAGTTTATTCCCCCAAGTCTGTCTGGATTAAGAACCCTGGTAGGTTTCAAAGAGTGAGAGAATACTCTCAAATGCCAATCAGGGATCAGGCTCAGCGCCCTCCAGTGGGGTCCTCAGATCGTGTGTGCGATGCAGGTATCTTCATAGACATTCTCTGTTGCTGAGGAAAGTTGTGCTCCCCTGAGACACCCTCTCCTGCTAGGCCTGATGGTGGGCTGTAGTCCCTTGCCCCGCCATAGGGAGGTGACATCAGGGGCTTTCCTGGTTTGAAGGCCTGTGGGTCAGACGCCGAGCCACCCATATCGTAGCCATTGCCGTGCCCGTTGCCATGACTTTTGCTATGACTGTTTCCATGGCCGTTGCCATACTTTCTGTAGCGTGATCCCTCCACTTCTGCACCCTCTTGTCCATCCTCTGCCATCTCAAAGGCCTTGCGTTTCAGTGGCACCCCTGCCTCGGAGCTCCCTCCAAGGCTGTGTGATGGGTAGCTGTAACTGCCCCCCACCATGGTGGGCCTTGGTGCCAGAGGAGTGGGGGCACTAATCCCAGAGGGCAGGTAGGAGGCACTGGGGTGGCTGTATCCAGAGGACAGGCTGGTTTGGGGGTAGCACCCTGGGGGGTAGTTGTAGACAGGAGTGCTGGCGCTGTAGCTAGGCACCAGAGTTGGTGCAGCCTGCAAAGAGTGTAGAGGGGCAGGGGGAAGTGCTGCGCTGGGCTGAGGGCAGTATCCTGAGGACAGGTAGGTGCTGTTGTAGGCAGGAGGGTATTCCTGAGATGATGGGGCACTGCAGGGGCCAGCACCACTGTAGCCTGGCTCAGAGGCCAAGTTACTGCTCACTACTGTCACACTTCCTGTGGCTGGGATGCCCACAGACGCAGAGCCCACCTTGGTGCCAGTTAATGCCTCCAGTCCAGGATAACACTCCATGCCCTGACCCAAAGCCCAGGGCTCAGATTCAGTTTTCAGGAAAGTCCCAGGCTCTGAGTAGGCCCCAGGAGCAGGGCGTTCATAGGACAACTCCAAGCCTGAGTACTTCTCAGCGTAGCGTTTAAGCAGAGAAGAAGCAGTAAGGGCTGATATGTCATCACTGGCCCAAGGGTAACCAGCAGGGGCAAAGCCACGGCGAGCAGCTGTAGAATAGGGGTCGTGTTTGTGTGCAGACGGGGGCGAGGTGGTAGAGGTGACATCTAGGTGCTGCTCAGGCCACTGAGATAAGGGGGCAGCGTGCTCCGGAGACCAGTGCATCTTCAACAGACCTGACAGGAACAAGATAAAAGCAAAATTAGTCCACACAATCATGAAATTATGTATAAAATGTTTTAAATTAGGAGTACTTATTTGCAGGGTCTTGCCTGCACCAGATAAATGTTTGTACACCCCATTTGAAGTATTTTGCTCCCTCTGTTTACCAAAACTCACAAGTAAGCTTAGAGTCTGGCCTCATTAATATCTGCCCTCATAATCTCCTTGGTTAGCTGACCCTTTTCCAGAATCATGTCAATGCTTAGCCTGTGCTCTTCTACACAGTCTCATCCAGGGAGGGGACAACTGTTCTAATCTTTATGTGAAGCCGGCAACACTGCCCCCAGCCTGGTCTCCACGGCGATAAGCCTCTATCAGCCTGCGCACTGCCCTATGCCTTTGCCTCTCTCACATTGGGGCCATTGTTGTCTCTCTCTGATTCTCTTAGTCCACAAAGCCACCCCCACTGAGCGTGTGATCTAATTCGGCCCAAACCTCAGGGGTCTGCTGGACAGGGGGAATAGAGGAAAGGGGGGTTAGTGTGTAAAGGAGGATCAGAGTAGTACTATACAGATTGGGCCAGTACATCTATGAACACTATTACAAGTTTAGTGATTGATTGAGCAGTCAAAAAAAGTCAGATTTTCACTTGCCATGTGTGATTATACATGCACATTTACACAAACAGAGTAATCTGCTGGTTTAGTGGTTGTGGGCTTTCGCCTGGCTTTTGCAGGCCTTGTCTTTTTGAACAGGCATTAGGCTGACATTCCAGGCATTGCAGAGTATTATTAAACTGTCCTGACCCCAGGCCTGGGCCAGAGGGGCTTCCCTGCAACAGTGCTGGACAGAGGAAGAAGCTACTGCCTCAGTTTCACTGACAGGAGTGGACAAATAATTCCTATGTCAGGTTTGTGAATTATTGGGAAAATGTTATTTAATGTGTAACCAAAATATCGGCACCAATATTGGGACGTGTTCTGTTACTCTATTTGAGCATAATTGCATCTGAGAGCTTTTCTGGTTTCTGGCCTTTGCCTTCTATGGATCAGACTCTGTGCAGTTTTTTTTTACACATTATGTCATCTCAGTTGTGCAAAAAATACTTAATGGCTTATGAATAAATAAGATAATTAATTAATTTATTCTTTTTGAAAATAAAAATAGTGTCTTGGAATAAAGTGTAACGTGTTGTTTCATGACTTAAGCTGTGATTTAAAACTTCCCAGAGCCCATGGTGACATCTTCATACGTCTTGTTTTGTCCAACCAACAGTCAGTGAAACTAAAAGATATTCAGTTTACATAAAACAGAAGAAAAAAAAATATTTACAGTTCTACAATTCATCAGTGGTAAAAAATTACTGATTTATTTTCTGTTTCATCAACTAATTGACCAATGGACAAATTGTTTCAGCTCTATTCAAGCCCCTGTTCATCTAGATGTTCTACAAACATTTTATAAAGAAAATCCCCAAAACAAGCAGGAAATAAAAGCAGCAGTGGCGGGTGTTTCTATTTATTTATTATTACACACACTGCCTTGCACGTCTGGTCTGATGTGGATTATGCCAGGTTGTGTCACATGTCCACTAGGACCACCAGATGGGCCTCAAACGGTCCACATGTTGATCCCTAAATGAAATGATCCTTCAGCCCAATAATCCCACTCATCCAATCCAGGGATTTCAGTGCTCTCGACCAACACAAGCTCCACCCTGGATCAGAGAAATCCCTATGCTCCAGGGAATTCTGACTGGCCATGGCACCCATCCCATACACAAAAAGCCTTATATTCCCACCAACACACATTCACACCGAGGTTATCACAATGGCAGATACCCACCACAAATGCTCAACAGCAGACATGTATGTCAGACAAGTAGGAGGGATGCTCCTAAGGTTAGAATCCAAATTACAGGCTGTCATGATCCAGGATAAAAACTTGACCCTGACTAGAGGGTGTTGATTTATTGTATTTCACAGTGAATCTACAGATCATGGCTGGATTATCCTAGACCTTTGCAGAGGGGTTAAACTACCAACCACATTGGCTACAGTAAAGCAACTGTTATTAACATTTCTCATAAAAGAATCAAGAGCCCAAAAAAGTCCTAACGAAATGCCTGAAGAAATAAACTAAATGGTAGAGGAAGAAGCCATCATGAGAACCATGTGTTGTAAACTGGTATGTAAAGTCTGTGCTGCAAATGCTACTGAGATACAGGTGGATGTATTATACTGAGGACACCACCTATAGCTGTATACAGTATATGCAGGCAACAAACAGATCTTGGGTAAAATTTTGCTATGATACCCTCACAGGTACAGTACGATGCCGTATGATCCGGTGCTTGTTATCCCTTAAAAGCAATGTTCGGATACATAGGTGAAAACACCTCACATAAAAAAGAGGTACAAAAGAAACAGGGGTTTCATTTCCCTGAATTGAAAGTCTGAGGGTGTTTGTATGTTATACAGATTGTAAAGCTCTTTGAGGCAGTCTTTGAGCTGATTTTGGTCTATATGGAAGGACACAATTGAGGTGAAATTGACTGTACAGAGTACTACTAACTAGCGAGAATCAGTCTGCAGCTTTTCACAGACTTCAGCTAAATACTACATTAATTTTATTAGAAATATAAGCATACTTTGTCTTGCAGACTTACAGAACATTAACATATAACGTATATGATGAATCAAAAACTTTGTTAAAAAAATACAGCATCCTGTCATTATGCGTGCAGACAGACACAAAAGAGTCGTTGGACTGATACTCACTGGTCATGCTGATTGCAGACATGAGCCAATCGTTTGTCGCTTTGCTTTCAATCTACTCCTCTCTCGCCGTCTTCACCCGATGGTCTATAATTTATCCAAGGCATATTTGACCGCAGTAATCTACTGTGTCTGGAGTCCTCATCGGGATTCAATGGAGGAATGTGGAAACGGAGCAAATGAAAGGATCACTCTGAGATCAGACCACTGGCGGGCGAACTGGAGGATCTGGATGGGTTAAAGACCAGACTCTAAGGAAACCAGACTAATGAAGGATTAGAGTACACAAGGCATATGGGAGTGTCATTGCTTGGTGACAATCTGACAGTCGTGGAAAAGAATTAAAGAAGCATCACCACTGGTGAGCTTACTTCTCATCCTTGCAGTAAACTTGTAGGTTGGATGAAGGCTTTATTCTATGTCACAATGTCACAAAATGAATGTCTCACTTGATAATGATTATTTTTTAAATATAAAAAGACAATAGCGTCTTCTGCATAATAATTCTAGTATCAAATTCCAACCTATTCCTGCCTTTAAAGGAGAAACATAGGCAGATGCTGCTGAGGATACAAGTACATTAAGTAGATCTACTTAATAATACTATAATAACAAAACACAAATTAGTAAAATGACTGAAATGTGTTTAAAAAATGGAAAACTACAGCTTGTTACTGCATTTCTTAGCAAACATTGTTGCTCTTTTTATCAGCTGACTAATATTATGCATTCAGATATCTTCACATTATACAATATTCCCTATAGCAGAGGTTCTTTTTAAATTTTAACTCTTTGTACACAGTAAGATCTTAACTCAGATATTACTTTAAGACTGCTTCTTATTAAGACATAAAATGTAAGATAACACTGCTATGTTTGTCTCCTATCCACAAAATGTGAATTTATGCAACAGATTAAACCCTCTTACTGTTCACCAGTACTGTAGCATTAGACATCTGTGTTAAAGTGAGGATATTAGGGAGCAGGGTTTGGGGTATTAGGGGGGATGAGTGAGGGAGCCCCTAACCCTAATCTAGCACCTCATCTTGGCTTGGGGCTCCAAGCATGGCTTACCAAGAGACAAAGATGAGTACTAAACCGGCTTGGTGCTTTGACAGCTTTCCTTAATCATTGTTATTATCATACTGTCGCAGCACCAGTGTTTCCTATTTGTCCCTCAGCAGTTTGGCTACTGGACACATCAGATGAATGGAAAGCTCACAGGGATGAGAAAACCATAGAATAGGGAACATAAAAGAAGGTCAAATATTTTAGATCAGTCAGTTTACATCAACAAAAATATGTTACGTATGCAGCGCTATCCCCTCTGCTGTTTAATGATCTAGTCAAATCCCACTGTAGTATAGTTCAGCATACCTACATTTAAAGTTGCTCTTTAACTGCAGTCCAGACAAATAGTTTAAAGTTGTGTTCCACGCATGTTTCAATCATACACAACAATTAACCAACTCAAACAACTACCACCACTGCAAGCTTCCCATCGATTTAGTATTTATTCACTCCATTTCCACAGTCTCCTTCTTTTAGTAGAACTTAGGAAATGCATGTTTATTCACTCAGTGTGAGTTCATGTTCATTTAATTCATGAATACCCCAGGATTTGTCAGATTTAGCAAATAATAATTCTGGAGCTGGAGATCTCAGTTATTGTTGTGTGGTTACTATCTATATCTGTAACAGTTTTTACACTTCAGAATAAATTCTGCATTTACATTTCTTGTACAAAACAAATGCTGCTTATCGCTTGAAAGAAATAAAGAAATCGATCCATACACATTTCCTAAACACTGCTGCAACATTATACACGTCTCCACTGTTTTCCCTGTGTAAACAATATGTTACAAACAGCATTTATCAAAACATGGTTACATTGCTTATGCAATTAGTTGGGATTTTTACAGAAGCAATGTATCTAGAGAGCAGAGTATACCCTGCTTTGTCTTGCCAGAGCCCTCAGCAGAGGCATCTCTGTTATGAATTGGCGCTATACAAATAAAATTGAATTGAATTGAATTGAATCTTTCTCTCAGTGAAATGAATGAGAATGCTGCATTGTTCTAATGTTGGTCTGAACGTGGCCTAATAATGTGTACTACAGTATGCACACAACTTAGACACAAGCAAGCTGTACGTCTATAGCTTAGGTGAAGTGGCACTTTGATCCTGGTGTATAAATCAGTCCCATGGAGGCGGATCAATGGGTGGCATGGAGACTGTGGCAGAAATATATGGTGATGTAATTGCAAACAATCAAAATGCAAAACAAAAATAAATATTTGATTGGAAAAGCACCCAAATTAAGATATTTTAACTCAAAAACCTTACATTATTGTGGTAACAATAGTGAAGAAGAAAATGTTTACAATTTAGATGTCTTGATTTGATGAAACATAACCAATCTGTGTAGCATTATTGAGAAGAACTAGATTACATCAGAGGCAGAAATAGCCTGTAAGAACACTGAACATGTTGACGCAAGAGAGGATCAAGCAGAACGAGGTTGGAAGGAAATACTTCCTTAGCTGACCAATCCTGCAGACACTACATGAAGTTACATATTTAAAGAGACACATACAGTGTAACTACCATGACACTACAGAGGTATAAATCTGCCTTGATTGAGCATGTGTGTGTGTCAGTTTCCTTTAATCTACCAGAGAAGGAAGTGACTTAAAATAACTCTTCCCCGTTTCGTCTTCTCTCACCAAGACCTACATGGATGCTAAATTACCTCAGGGTTCACCAAATAGCAAAATATGCAGTATGTGTGTGTGAACCAGGGAGATACTAGCAAACAGCAACCTGATCTATCCAATAAAGAGATGGACTGAGCAGCCCTCCCAGCTCTCTGTCGAGCTGTCAGCAACCTCCACTAAAACCAGTTTCAGTGCTCTCTAACCATTACTTCTTTAATGAGTATCATTATCAGTCAGATATGTAGCAAACCCTGGAAATTCACCAAATGTTTTCCTCTGTCAGGGAAACACAATCATGCAAGTCATGGATGCTTTCTCAATGGAGGCTAGTTCACTCGTGGCCCACACTGCATGGTCACTATAGTAATTAGGGGTTAATTAGATGAAAGTACGTGTGGGGGATGGGGATTGACTGGAATGGGATTTGGGGGTTGTGGAGCATCAGAGGAGGCTGGCTGGACGGCTGGTTTGGGGAGTGGAAAAAAATATCACCCTACTGGAGCTGAAGGGTCCTCTGTTAGTGCGTTTACTCCACTCACAATAAACAAAGACTTACATTTCCTGAGGATGGACAGACACTCACACAAGATGCACACACACACACACACACACACACACACACACACACACACACAAGCTCAGGCACTCTTACTATATTGTGGTTTTGGTGCGGTGTTTAGCTTCAGCTGGCCAACAGGCAGAGGAGCTCTGGGTCATCTATCGGATGAGTAAGGCTACTGGAATGCCAGGAATCTAACCTGAGATCTATTTACAAAGCACATATCCTCTCCATACGCTCAACACACACTGTCCACTCCCAGGCTGCAGTAAGGAGAGGGAGAGGACATGCTTACTTACGGTGCTGATAAATTACCCTATCAACTGTTTGCCCATTATTAGGTAATTTGTATTAGTTAGAGTTAATTCACGCCACTGCTTGTAAGATCAATACAGAACACATCAGAGGAGAAAAGGCATATGAATATATATGGAGCATGTCAGGATTCCTGTGGCAATGGACAATCGACTGTACACAAAAACACACACATCGTCCAGCTATCTCTGTCTTCTTCGCATATAGAGTAAATGAGAGTTAGATTGTTACGTAAGCACTGACCAGAGTAAAAGGCTGGAGCGAGTGTGAAGGAGGATCTGTTGAGGAGAAAACCCTCCCTCTCCCTCCTTTTTCCCCTTCCCCCTTTTCTCCTGGCCTGCACAGTCCACCAGGCCACACCACTGTCAGCCAATCAACTAGCGTACCATATCTGACTCAAGTTTTACACATCTCTAACCTACAAGTCATTTCTAATTATGACAATGTAAGTCAGGACATGGCTTTTCCCTTCCAAAGACACACACCCAATCACACAGACTTATCTCTAAGCACTGCTGAGAAGTTAGTTTAAATATTATTATCCTCCTTTTCCTCTCATTTTATTTTTCGCTATTCTTTCACTCTGATTTTGCCCAGCACTCTTCCTTCCTTTAGTCCCCCTCCTTTCCTCTGTGCTGTAGTAAAGACAGGGCCGTGTGTCCAAGCCTGTGTGGTCAGTTTTCCCCTTCCCCCACTCCTTTAGCTCACACACACACATGTGGCAGAGGCTGGCCTGGCCCCTCTTTGCTTATTGTGTCCACTCATATATCAGGCTGCAGCTGACCAGTCCCTCCTGGTGTCCTCTCCATCTGCCCTTCACTTTGCTCTTTCTCTGTCTCTTTCAACAGCAACACAGATCTTAATTATAACAGCTAATGAGCATCTAAGGTGTGCTACGATGTGCTTAACAAGCTTTCATGATTGCTATGTAGGACTAATGTGTGTGTGTGATGTTTATGTGTCCCTCTATACGGGCCTATTGAGACACTGGTGACACCAGGTTACTAACGATCTGGCTTTCATTCACAGAATCGCTTCACCCTGGTAACTGGCAACTAAAAGGGCTAAAGCTGGTCATTCCTTTCTTCATGTCACACTATCATCATTATGGACAGAACCCACAATGAGGTGTAGGTGATTGTAATTGTATGCTTACTTGTTTGTGTTTGTGTGTGTGCAGCTTGACAAGAAATGTGCAAATCTGTAAGATTTGATTGAAGAAGTGGTGGTTATATAATAATAAATGCCAGCGTAGGGTTGTGTGTAGTCGAAATTTCTGTGGAAGAAATCTAACGTGACGCTGTGAGTCTTTTTGAGTCAGGAATGTGACATTTGTACGTTACTGAACTTCTGTATGCTCAGAAAACTCCCTCCTGTTTCTGTTTTCCGCTCATTGTGCCTGTACATCTGTGTCACTCTTCAGAATACATAAAATCCTAGAAGTAAACCCCTGTTGCATTATTCCAATCAGGTTAGAGTTGTAATCCTGTTAAAGCTTGGCCTAATCAATAGCCCAGTCAATCAATATAAGCATATTCATCAGCCTGGATAGCAACCTCTCATGATTAGCACATATACAAGCCAGGACTATGCTGTGATGTGTCACAGAGATTTATGTGATTTAATCTGCTTTTACATACTAACACATATTTTCCAAACATAGAAAATATCTACTCTGGTAACACTGGAAGACCATGTTTTTATGAATTGTGCAAAGGAAGTGGTGACTCACACTATCATCATAGTTCAATATACATGCTTTACATTTAAAAACAAGCTTTTCCACCTTGAATAAAGATGAAGTAAGGCTATCACCTGAGTCTCAAGCTATGATGGTGTTAGGATTGTTTAAAAGGTATATTTATCTTTCATTCTTAAAGAAAAGCTCTGAGTGAACTGCTCCACATCCTCACTATGTTCATGCTGCTCCTAGAAAAGACAAGCAGCGGTGCTTTAGCTGCTGTTGGTCGCCATACTTTATTCACATGGAGGGGCTGAAAAAACAGCGTCTGAACACTTTCTGTGAAATTCCTCAATGCAAAGCCTGGAGACTCAGCTGTTAAAGCCATTAGCATATCTGCCTCCTCAAAATGACTTCTCAGAGACCCCCCCCCCTCTCCACCCCAAGCCCCTGCTTCCCTCTACTGAGCCACAGGAGATGAGTTCTGGACAAAAGAGGAGCCAAACTAAAGAGGTTGTACAGAAAAACAGACTCAAATCTACCTAGGTCACATTGTTCATGTACAACATGCCAAACAGACCCATTACTGGACATGAGAACACAGGATATTAACCCAAACACAGGCAGTGTACACACGTGTAAAAAAAAACAAAAAAAAAGGACTTACTGTATGGGGTGACTGGACTGAGCATTCTGCAGCCCTGGCCCAAGGTGAAGAGGAGAGGACCAGGTCCACTAGGTGCTAGTGAGGGCCCAGCTGCATGCTGCGGGGCCTCCCTGGGCTACTGTTTCTCCTGCTGCTGCTGGTGGTGGTGGTTGTTCGACGGCTGGCTCGGCTAGTGACTGGCCTCCTGCACCCCTCCATGGTTCATTTCACAGTTCAACACCGCTCTGACACACTGCCACCTGAGGAGCACACACATGCCAGTGTCAGAGCCAAGAGACACTGTCAATATGACTCGGTTGCCTATTTTTTATTTGATGTAGTCACTCAAATCCAGATTCTAGGACATTTTTGAGAAATCTGTAAATTTAAAAATGTCCTTACACGTTAAATTCAATATTTCTATTAAAAAGACTTATGCAAAGAAACTGATATTGACTGATAATGAGTTTCTTGTGCACTTTTTCTTTCCTCAGTTGTGTCTGTTTATGTGTATGCACATACACATGCACATGTGTGAGTGACCGATCAAGAAAGAGTTTAAATGCTAAATACCCTGACAGAGAGGGGGCTCTTTGCCTCTGACCACAAAACCACATGGCCAGCGGAGACAAGTTTCTAATTATTAGAAGCCACCCGTGTTTCAACACAAACACTGGAAACCACAACAGCAAAAGGATCTTTGTACTGTATGTAGAGCAAGGAAGCAGCCCTGTCTAACATGGAATACATGTAGGAATAAAGGGAGTGTAGAATAGGAGAAACATGTCAACATAGGCTGACATATAGAAGAGAAACTAATGGGAATGTCACACATATGTATAGAGAAAACAAACTATAACATGCATAATGGAGTAAGCAGAGGGAGGACATATCACACATGAAGAGAGAATAGAGAGCATTGGAAATGACAGGAATGTGCAAGGAGCAGCAGAAACATTGTCCTTACTGCTGAAAGGAGACAAACAATTTTTCAACAAGTGAGTAAATGGTTTACTGACCTGATCATGCCTGGATCTGCACGCTGAGTGGTTCAATTTGGAAAGTAATCCACTGTTCCAAAGAAAAGTACAACAGGGGAGCCAACGTGACTGTGTATCTGCGTGTGTGTTTGAGGCTGGTACTCTCTTCTGGGACCCTATCCTTCTCTCCTACACTCCCTCGCTCGCCCTCCAGCTCCCTTCTCTCTCCCCCCCAACTCGCTCTCCCTCGCCTTGTGACAACAGAGCAGCAAATACATCCCCTCCCCCAATCACGCCACCCCTCCCCCTCCTTCTCCCTCTCTTTTGTTAAAAAGTATTTCAGCAGGAAGGAAGAGAGAGGGAAAAAGTGACCAATCATGCAATGTCAGAGGAGAGCCTGTTTCCACCCGCTGTGTGTGTGTGTGCGTGAATTTCTGCATTTGTGCATGATCTTATTTGCATGAGTGTGTATGCATGTGTTTCTTTTTATTGTAGACCTTCAGTGTGATGAATGAGCATGTGGAACACACACTACTGAAAAATTGTGAATTTTCTCCATCGCTGATCACATGAGAAGTTCAGTTATTGTCAATGACTTCTATCGATCTGGTACATTGATCTAAGTATTGTTGGGAGGGTGGGGTTGAACCAACCATGTCAATATTACCTAATGCCTGTGGAACCCCATCCCCCCCCCCACACACACACACTAGCCTGCACACATGCATGGGCAGAAGCAAATGACCTCCACATTGGCCTCAAACCTCTGACTAAGAAGGGGGTAAATTTCTTCACCTTTAATTTATCAGTATCAGATATTCTAGTGTACACTTATGCTGCTTTTATATAATTTTTTTCCTCAAGGGCCCATTTAACTGTTTCTCTCTTGTCCATATTTTGCTCTAACCCCAGTCCTTCATACATAGAAACACAGCTGTGATTCTGCATTTAGAGTTATGGAGTAGGCGGGACAAGCTGGTCCACTCCTCATGTTACTCTGCTGTAAACACTCTAGGACCTGCAGGACACGCTCATTCTTGCTTCATGCTTTCACTGCTCTCAAAAGCAGGCCCTGTTCCACACACACACACACACACACACACACACACACACACACACACACACACACACAGGCACATGTTTGACATGTGTGCGGGGTGTTTAAGAAGGTTGTTCATGGTGCAAACAGTAACTTTCCTTTGTAATTTGATCTTGTTAGACCAAAATCACATGATTACAAAGCAGAGTTTTAACAAAAATTAACCCCACAGTGCTGAGTCATCACTGTCCTCCTGATTTATGGGGAAGAAGCTCTTGTGTCGTATGCCGACTATTATTCGACAGTACTGTGAGTGTAATTGTTGCCAGTAATAGCAGTGAAGGTGGAGGCTCGTTACAAGACCTTTCATCAGGTGACTCAGAGGAGTAATGGCTAGTGCAGCGCTCAGCTCTTTCTCCCTTACCTGCTTTGCTGACAAACACTGAAAAAAGAAAAGCCATGCTGTTATTTTGCAGCCGAGGAAACAATACATCCAAACAATCCCAAATGTGCTGTGGGGGGCTGTTCTTTTCTTCGTAGATAAGGTGGACTGATGATACATTCTCACTGCAGAGTCGAAGCCCCCAGATGTGGTCTCTTGTTACGTCGGGAACACCTCCCCATGTAGGCATGCGGCCCTAAGCAGGTCACTAGGACAAGCAGAGGGACAAAGGGCAGAGCGTGTGCTAATGACAGTCAAACAGAAAGATGTAGCTAACAGCAGGTTACAGCACAAGTTTACTGGCAGAGACAGCGGAGAGAAATTCCCTTTTCAACTTAACTACTGCGACAGATTCATACAAATGCACACAGGAAGATGTATTTTTACACAAACAGAAACACACACACACACACACACACACACACACACACACACACACACACACACACACACATAACGGCTATACTGGAAATTGGACATGGTAACTCTAACCCTGGGTCTCTTTGGCCCTCTGGGTGGGATAGGTCACATGATAGCACCCCAGAGAAGCTCAGCTGTTTGCCACTCTAATTCTGTCTCAAGCAGCTGAGCACTGGCTCACTGCTCCACTGAACTGTCCCAATAATGATAATAGTGTGTGTGTGTGTGTGTGTGTGTGTGTGTGTGTGTGTGTGTGTGTGTGTGTGTGTGTGTGTGTGTGTGTGTTTGTGTGTGTGAGTAGGAAGAAGGAATGGGTAGGGGTGAAAATCATGAATATCATCATCAAGTCCATACCTTAAAAAGTTGGAAAGCTGCTGTAGATACAGAGTTAAATAGCTGGTATACAACTTCTATTGCTATTACATTCTATTACATTGCCATGCATGTTGTTCACACATACAGAAAATTATGTGAGGAATGAATTATGAGACAGAGAGAGAGAGAGAGAGAGAGAGAGAGAGGGCAAAACAGGAAGAGGAAATCTTTGGAAAAAGAACAGGAAATATGTGTATTGTCTCCCACCGGCAATGTCAGTGTCAGCATAGTGCTGTGCTGTATTTAATGGATAGTTCTTGTAATATTTTATATTTTTCTGACAACTAATCCCACAAAAAGACCAAAACTAACAATGAACTGATCCTAATAAGTATTTCTATAGCCAAAGCATTATATATCTTGTTGCTCTACACCACTGACCTCCTCTGTTGTCCAGAAACTATTAAAAACACATCAGTGAGATGCACAGAAGCTCTGAGTGACATGTTCCTTCATTATGAAGAACGCGGGCACTGTTACTATTACACACCATACTACTTCCATTAATACTCACAAGAACACCAAACGTGTATTAATCCACGGTGGAAATGACTAGTTTGAGTGCGACAGGGTAGGAACATAAGAGCATAGAGAGACAGAGTGATGCATTGTTAGTTTGTACTGTATATAAGCACACAGAAACTGGACACATGCACAGAGAAGTATAGAATCATTCCACTATTATTATTGCTAATGCTGATGTTTTCCTACTTTTTATTCTCATTGTTGTCTTGTCTGGGAAACATGATATTGACTCTAATCCACATCCTTAAGAAAATCAATAAGATTGAGCTGCAAAGCAGATTGGTACACACACGAGTATGCACACACTAACTCATCATGTGTCCTTTCTTCTCATCAAGTGCAGAATGTCAATTAGCCAGCCTCGCATTCAGAATACTGTATGTCTCTTCAAGGTTAAATGGCGCGGCTGTCCCAATGATTTCCAATTACAGCACGACAGCCGAGGCAGTAACTGGTGTGTAATTTTCTTTAAAGTGCAAAAAGGCAATGAAGTATAAAGAATAACGACCAGAACGATCACAGTTAACATGATAATGTGGATATAAGAGAAGTTTGAGTCACACAGATTTATTTTTTATTATATGGTGGAGGTTTTAACAGAACAGTTGAAACACCACCCAAGGAAAGCTAAGCTTACTGTGCGCACGCACACACACACACACACACACACAAGACTGAACACCCCCCCCCCCAAACACACACACACACACACACATGCATACACACACATGCAGCGCAGTGCTCCATGTTAGAGGCTTATTGTTCTCTGGTATGGAGAACACAATATCCAAGTCTGGTAATAGAGGTTAGATTAATTGCTGACAAATCTGTATTCAGCAGTTCCCTTTCTCTCTGCTTGACAGATTTATGACAGAGATTGATGGAGGGGAGGGACCAGCCGAGAGCCGCCTCTGTTCAGTGAGAAAAGAAGACAACAGCTCAGTGAGTCAAACAGAAACAGAGAAAAAAAAAAGAAAAGAGGGACAGGATTGTTTTGGTTGGATCTTACACATGACCAACAATTTTGTCTTTGAGCTTGTAGGAGGCGTCATATTTTACGCTGTTTAAAACCAGAATAGTTACATCCAAAAATAATATTGTAGTGTGTAATATTGAGGAGGATCTATCGGCAGAAATTTAAATTTAATATAATATTCATAGTTATGTTTTCATTGGTGTATAACCACCTGAAAATAAGAGTTGTGTTTTTGTTACCTTAGAATGATCTTTTTATAGCTACAGTCATCACAGGTCGCCATTTTGAACCGCCATGTTTCTACAGTAGCCCAGAACGGACGAATCAAACACTGGTTCTGGTTCTGTTTTTTCATGGGTTTGTCATCCTCCATAACATTTCTCCTTCGCATTTGTAAGGGGAGGGTGAAGCGAGGGAGTTGCAATCTGAAACTATACCGCTAGATGCCACTAAATCCTACACACTGGACCTTTAATACCCAATGCAGTAATTATGTTTTATATCTGTGTAATAACAACAAGAATGATAAATTATAAAGTCACCTTCAAAAGACTCTTTAAGGAGCACCGTGAGGAACAGGCCTTTTTCACAGCACACATTTTGACCGGTCACAGGGGGAAAAACAGGTGTTACTAATAACATTAACGATGGCACCGTTCTATTTAAGTTTTGTGACAGTGAGCCAGCATGCATAATAGCTGGACCATGTAACTGGAGCAGAAATGGAATTCAGCCATCAATAATTGAATTATTTATACCTGTTCTTGTCAAAATATCTTGATAAAATTATTTTATGTAAACCTGGAAAGCATCATTTAAAAGTTTTTTTTATCAAAACTGAGCTAATTCTGAACAAAAAGGAAACCATATGAAAAATCCAAAAAGGTAATTATTATTAAAGGAATAGCTACACATGGTGTTTATTCATTTTCTTGTCTGGAGTATGCTCAGAAGATCAAAACTACTCCCACTCACCACGTAAGTGGGGCCAGGAGCTGGTTAGCTTAGCTTTCATAAAGAATGGAAACAGGAGGAAACAGCTAGCGTCGCTCCGGTAACAAATCTGCCTGTATTAGTCTCTCATTAGTTTAGTCCATACAAAACCAAAACAATAATTCACCCCGCTAACTGGTTCCATCACAGTCTTTATGTTAAGCTAAGCTAACCAGTTGCTAACAGGAAAATGGGTACTTTACAATACAGTACACAAAAGAGTGATTAGTTACAAAGGACTGAGTGAGGAATGGATGAGGAATGACCGGATTAGTTCCATTAGTTTCTCAATAACTCTGAATCGAGGACTATTTCGTAGATAATGATGAGTTACTTGAGAACAGACTATGATATTAATGAATGATTAGTTCATGAATATCTGTGAATCAATATACTTACCATTGTGACCAGTTAATTAAAGAGTTGCAAGTAATTATGACTCATTAATTACTTGGGACTTAATCATTAGTTGTGCACCCAGTAAAGTGGTACATCGTACTGAGCAGTAGTTACTAAGTAGAAATGGAAAGGTTGATATTTATGAACTAATCAGTATATAATGATTCATTAATATAGTATTACTAGTCCTTGATTCTGAGTTATTCAGGAACTACATATTAACGATTAATTAATAAAAAGGTCATTCCTGATTCGATCCTCTTGATTCCTCGTAACTACTCAAAATGTTGTTTACCATATTGTAAAGCCAATAAGCATACATTTTCCAAAATGTCTTTCTTTAAGACTTTTGGTTGTCAAACACAGTTGATTGTAATAATGGTCACATTACATTCAGAGATGTCACTGTCAGGTATTATGCATGAGGCTCACTTCCATGGCTTAGTAGCCAACTTACATCCAACAGAGCATATCATTAATATCATTAGCTTCACCTGTGCTTTTCCTGCTATGACCTATGATCATGCTATGATCTGTTGTGAAAACCTCCTGCTGCAGTCCTTACTCATGCACAATCTCGAATCAACTCAGATGCTCCACTGCAAACTACTGGAGAAATCATTAATAATACCTAATGACTCCTTATTGTTTAGCATTTTGTGGCAGTCCTGCAGAAAAAAAAAAACATGCATTCCAGTCCGCATTCCAGCTCCAGTTGGCTCTTCAGCTTTCCTTCACAAAAACCTCAAGACCTTCACATGAGCACAAAGGATTTCTTTGAATGCTTAAGTCTTATAAAACAGAGACATTAGGGCCAGTGTCTCTCCTCAGCTGACTGGCCTAGACCCACACTGCACCCACATGATAATAATAAATGCAATACACAAACGGGCTGACTGAAATTAAGTTAATATGATGTATATTCACATGTACTAACACTATGTGGGGCAGCCAACGTCACTTAATAGATCTGCAGCATTACGCTGACCCCTGATTCAATTCTTGAGGTAAAAAATGACTCAAAATGTCCTGCCCACCTCCCTCCTTTCACCTTATGTCCGAGGCAACAGCTCCTCCGATTCGATAAAGCCACAGCCCACCAGATGTTTGTAATCAGGAGCAGTTGGGAGTCAGGATCACATGACACCCTCAAGGCGCACATGCACACATAGATATATACATACAGAGTGTAGTGCATCTTTAACCCCATAGCCCTTCCCACAGGCTACTCCTTTGCAGTCAGGATCACCTCCAGATGTGCACACTGTGTTCTCACCTCAGGATAAAAACCGGGGGAAGGGGTGCTGCAAAAGGAGGAGGGAGGGGGGACAGTACAAGGAAAATGGAAACGACTGCAGGATGTTGGAGGAGGAAGGTAAATGAGAGTGGAAGGAGTGAGATACTTCATGCGTGGAAACAGTGTTTATCTTTATTTAACTGATGTAACAGTCTTAGATTTAAATAAATATTTGAAGGGCAAATTCATCACAGGCCCAATCTACCTGAAAGGATTGTGACTCTGCTGCCACCTAGTGGTACAACTCAACAAATACATCAAAATACATTATAGCTCAAACATGTAAACACATACAATTCAGTGTCTCCTATTGCGAAATGAAATGATTTAAGGTAACGACATGATGGATTAACTCAAACAACACTTAATTTCATTTCAACTGTAATTATTTATTTATCATTTTCCATAATCAAAAATTAAATTACATATACATATAAAACATGTAGAACCACTTTGTTCAAGACTAATCATTCAGTGGTTGAAGAGACAAGGCATCACTCTTTCTATGGCTCCAAGACTATAGGATTAAGGTTACTGCAGAACAGGTGATCTTCACCCTGAAAATCTCCCACTTTCTAAGATATACTGTATATATATATATATATATATATATATACATATCTTCATCTTTCATCCTTTTCCTCTTCTGTCAAACTGACCTTGTCCTTGAAACAGACGCACATTTTGTCTTATATTCATTAGAAAGACATAGCCTTACACAGTGCACAGTTTTCACTTTTATCTACACATAAAAATGAAGTAGGAATTCAGGAGAGAATTCGAAACAAGGGTCTGTTATTTTTATGCGATGAAGGAATTGTACAATTATACAAAATTGGACACAGAAATTACGTTTTTTTTGACAACCTGTGCCTCATTAATGGCTTTTAAAAGCACAATAGGAAGTGGTTATGTATTCTATGATAGGCACACACATACAGTACACATATTTATACTCACATCCATCGAAAATTGTGACCTCTCTCAGTCACATGTATATGCAGTAAACCTACAGTATAATGAAGGCATGTTTACCATACATTCACATATACATTAATGAGTGGAAATAAGACACATGATGTTCATTAAAATTACATTAACAATTGCTTAATAATTAAGTTTTTTTTGTTAAAGCACATATACAGTCATTGAACTCTGGGTGTTTAAAAGTGTTTTCGCAATTTGGCCAAGTCCGTTATGGAAGCATTTCTTCATATTTTTTCTCAATTTACGCAACATTTGTTTGAACTCACTCATGTAATTTAGAATATATATCTACACAATAATATATAGTCATGCCGTTCATTAGTTTAATTATGGGTCCTCAGACACACAAAGAATATTCACATTCAAAAGTCTGACTGAGTCGGAGCAGAAGTACATGACAGCAAACACAAAACTTTCATACACGTCTTGGAGGAGGTATTACTGCATGTGATGTTACAGTGATAGAATACTGTACTTTTGTACTTTGCTTTAAAGTCACTTGAATAGAAACGATGGGGACTATGAAGGAAGTAGCCTTGAAGATTGTTATAAAACAATTAATGAACTGATATTCACCTGGACGGTAAAACAAAGAGTTTATAGATTTTAAACATGACTCCATCAGTTAATGGATCAAATATTTTAAATGGATCATTTTGTAATAGATTAATTTGATAACTCTCTGATGTTTAACCTGAAAGTACAGATCCATCCAGAAATAATTACTCAATTCTAAAATGAGTCTTTGGGACATCTCATTACCATTTAAAGTGAAACTATGTAATTTCTGTAAGAAGAACAAACACATTCTTCCTCTTACAAAGGATTACTGAGTCAGTTTCCTGCTTTGATAACTCCTTTGTACTTGTGCTATGGTTACACGATATTTTAATATTATTATTATATCGTAATTCTCACCTGTGGCCACAGTGGGTGCTGTTAAGCAAAACATATATAGTCATAAAAATAAAGGCAAGAATGGCTGAATATTATTTTTCAAACAGTCTATCTGTCATTCATCCTTATTTTTATTGTCCAATAAAACATCAATCAATAATTGATTTATGAGCAGTTTCAAGGCTCTCTAAGTCCTCCTTTGAGGGCAAAAGGGTGTGACAATCATGGTTTATTAGACGAACTTGTGATGTCTCCCATCAGAGCTCTTTGCTCTCTGTGTAATAACCTTTGAAGGTTGAAGTAGAATATTCATGTACTGCATTCGTCAGCCTTTGTCTTAGCTCATCTTGCTTATTACATTATATACAGAAAGCAAAGAGAACACATTGACATTGTATATTTAAAAATATTATTGTTATAAATAATAAATAAGTAATAAATGATTGTAAAATCATTTAATTGCTTAATAGATCTCTTGAAAATAAAATATATCACAAATTCTTTATCTACAGAAAGTGCAACTACAAATAAAGTGTTATTGAAGGTCATTCTTTCACACCATCATCTCCCTTTGGCTTTTCTACGCTCTGAAAGCAGAGTGGTATCCTAAATTAATTAAAGACAACTTCCAGAAGTGATTCTGATAATAAAAAAGGTGGATGAGCAACATTACAGTAGAATCTTCTTTATCCAAACTGAAGTTTCTTGTCAAGCCACATAATGAATGAAAATTGTGACAATGTCAGAATATCTTCCTTTAATTGTGTGTAATAGTTGAAATTTTCTTTTTGGCACGTGTATTAAAAGTGTTTTTCAGGCTTCAAATATTATTATTTTTCCTCAACTGCCTTTATTCAACTCCAGGTTGATAAAAAGAAGTTGCACTTACATAAAACAACCCTGATAAATAAAAAGTTTGCAGTAAGCTCAATTTGGGTTGGATTTTGGGTGAATTATTGCTTGAAAGAAAATTCTGTTAACCCCCCTAAAAAAGACAAAAAGCAAAATTGTTATTTTTTCCTGATACTCAAAGAGACACAGTCTTTCTCTCTGTGTCACACACACACACACACACACACACACACACACACACACACACACACACACACACACACACACACCATTTTTTCCGCTCTGGTTCCACCTGACCTGACATCACCCAAAGTGCCTTACAGGAGCATTCTTGAACTTGTCTGAGGTAAAGAAATAAGACACTGTACTAACACGACAGAGATTCTGTAAGAACAACCTCCTTCCTACACAATCAGTAGTTCAAAGACAAACGTCCATAAAGGGAAAAAGATCACGCCTCAAAAAACACGTTATTGATGCCACTGCTTCAACTGAAGAACTGAAGTGGGTCTTCTGACATTTACAGTTTTCAGTTTACATCATTACACAAAACTGACACAACGTTTTATGCGCCAAAAGAGGATTTGTCTATGTATTACTGAACCTGCAATGTATTTCTAAAATCTACTAAATATTTGACTATCATCACTATAAAAGAACACAGCAATGGCACATTAAAAAAAGAGACTCTAGTAGATTTAAGGAATAATGACTGATAAACCTACTGAGAATATTAAAAAGAACCTGGTTTGTTTTTAAAGGAGCATTTATACTCTATCATAACCCAGCTGAGTGTACAGTGGAGGTGGGAAACCTGGGTATTGTTTCTGATGAAAGGGTGAAAAATGGGAGTAGAGAGGTTGTTGTTGTTGTGTGTGTGTGTGTGTGTGTGTGTGTGTGTGTGTGTGTGTGTATGCTATTCTATCTTTTGTGAGGACGAAATGTATTTAAAGCAGCTATAATCAATATTTTCATATTAACAATGGATCACATGACTAAGGCTACATTCACACTGCAAGCCTCAATTCCTAATTATTTGATTAGATTATCTTTGTTTGGCTCTTCACATTATTTTTTTAATGTGGCCCATTCCATTGTGAACAGTTCAATGACCTGCCTAACAAATGTCAATTTAGAGTGACATAAATGTATGAATGTAGGCAAAGTGTATTTGAAGGGAGTCGTTTGGAGTGATGATGTTCTGCAGTCACTCTTAGATTTACAAAGCTTTAGGCTATAGCATATTTCAGCTCATGTTCGGATTTTCCAGTCCACAACTCACCACTCTGTTTTCAGCGAAACAGCTCTAAAAACTTGCTGTACAGCTGACAAAGTAAGTGACTAGCCAGTGAATATAGTTGGAGCATTTAGTGCCAAAAGAGCCAGATATTTCCTCCAAGATCTTAGTGGAGACCAAAATCAGAGCTAAAAGAAGAGAGACTATTTGACTTACATTCAACAGGAGGCCAGAATCACAAAATGAATGCTAATGTGGCTTCCCAACAGCTGTTGTGTAATAAAAAATATATCAAATTCAAAGCTGAAAATATGTCCATGTTACAGCTTGTGCCCTAACGTAATTACTGCAGATTTAAAACAGCAGGAATATAAGGTGTTTATTAGCTACACCTAAACTAATGCAGTTGTTAGACTCTCATCATTAATTAATGGGATAGTAAAAATAACAGAAACACCTGTCAGTGTAAAAAAACTTAACAGCGCCACAAACTATGTCTTCTAAAAATGATCATACAATTGAATCAACACTTTTCTGAAACAGTTTAAACAAAAACGGAACATTGTAACTTTCATGATTCAACTTATTGCAGGACTGTCATTTTACATTCATCAGGTTGTTCCTAATAAACCAGCAACTGGCATATTTCTGGTTTAAATCTGCGCTATGGTTCAGTTTACGGTTATGGCTACGGCTCGTTCTAGTATTAAACAAGAGAATTTACAATAGGCTATTTCACTGATGTTGGGCAGTAAAGCCGATATTAATAGACCAACAACAGCTGTGTCCCTGTGAGCTGAAAACAAATCCCCCTGACTTTTTGGTTGACATTTCTGGAGACAGACCAGTGGCACTGAACTAATTGACTAACTGGCGTCTTGTACGACTGCTTCAGATGTTACATCCAAATAACTTTTAAATAAATGCATGGCTTTCAGCTGTGTATCAGCAAATGCACCCATATCTCAGTGAAATCACCATGGCTGCCAACAGCTGTCACAGTGTCCTCGCAGTTGTTCCATTATTTACTGTCACTGTGGATGGAGCAGCTCCAGGAATTGTCTCTACATGACATTATCAGAGCCTGTCTCATTGCTCTATACAAATTAATTAAAAGAGCTGTTTGATACTATTGAATTTTCAAAGGTAAATGCTGCTACAGGAGAGATTGCTTTAAATCCTTTATATTCTCCTTCAACCTCACAACCAAGATGGAAAGCCAAAGGCAGTGTACTGGCCAGAACGTATTACTCTTCCTTGTCTGGTTTAATAGAAAGCTAAAAGTAAATTATGTTGATGGTTGGCTAACTGGTTAAGATAGTTAAGATTGCTGAGGTTGGTGCTAGCTTCTAGTTCAAGGGGTCAGAGTGAGGATTAGGCTTTAATTTTAGAGCCTTGGTTCAGGGAAATACGATTTTAAATATATTTCCAGTCCTCACAAAGATAGAAGTGCATGTGTTTGTCTGTCTTTATCTGTGTGTTTGCATGTAGCTGGTAGAAATCATCGAGGGGTGGTTTCTCTAAGCGCTGAAGAGGCTGACGGTCAAAGCAGTCAAATCGCAGTGTCCTGTGGTCCAAAACTACAGTCAAGTGGGACAGCTGAGTTTGCCAGGACTGAAGACATCCTTTACTCGTCTATGAACGCTATCCCTTCAATCCTGCAGAGTAAAAACATACAAACCTGGTATTAACACAGCACAGAGCACAGTTTAGTTGCCCTAAATTCGCAATTACCAGTTGGAGCAACAATTGCAAAACACAAAAGAAGCGAATGATCACAATGTGTAGCGGGAGTACTTCCAGATGACAGGGGTGAGGAAAAGGAGGATATGGCTTGCCTTCTTAGCAGCCACAGGACGAGTGTCCTTTTGATTGGAGTTGAGGGATTTCCACACGGTGGTTTTAGACATTTCATCAGATATATTAATATCAGAGGGGTCACACCTGAGGACCAGGGAGAGGAAAAGGAGAAAACAGATAAGGGATAAGGTGGGGGTGCTTTGGGCCTTAGGGAGAGGTCTTTGCATGTTAGTTGCACAGGGTGCACTTGAAAACAGACGACTACACCCAAACAAGACAAGCATACATCACAACAATCTTACCGTTCCGATTGTCTGATGTCCATTCGGTCAAATTAAGTGTGTTTAGGTGTATACGTGTGTTTGCTCACCTGGGATCATGTGCTTTTGGGGTCTGAACAGGCTTGCTGCTCTCCATTGGAATCTGAACAGTATCTTCCTTTTTGTCACTGAGCATACCCTGTGATTCCTAAAAGACACACACCCCGCCACAAGCATATACAGTTAATACATGCATGTTTATCTACATTCATCTGTGCATTTCAAGAGTCCATTTAGACTACCTCTTCTATCGTTTTGGAGGCATCATCAAGATTTTTTTTCTTCCATTCAGGCATTAAATCATCCAAGTAACTTAGCTCTCGTTTGGAGAAGCACAAGTCCAGCAGCTTGCGGACGAAAACCAGCGCCAGCACCTGCAGGCACAGTAAAATAAATGGTTCTTATTTAAATGGAAGACTTGGAAAGACTAATGAGAAGAGACAGGGGATGTTGGTGGGGGTCCACTGACCATCATGGGGAATATTATAGCAGCAGGTGTTGTCTTGACGACCCAGAGCAGCGCCAGACAGGTGAGCTGAGTGACAGTGAACAGGTGCACCTTCCTCAAGGGGACGTGGCGCAGGTAGATGAAGTCTGGCTGGTGCTTCGCAGGCATGCCGAACAACTTCAGACGGTCAAATAACTGAGAAATGATGAAGATGAGTGCAGGTGGTAGGGAAGTTAGAGACAGAGAGGGTAACAAGACAAATGAATAAATGGGAGAAGAGCAAGAGCAGAGGCACAGATGGTGAGTGTGGCAAGAGAAAGAAAGTGATTATAAACGACAAATTTAGTTAGATTGGTCTGACAATTAACTGTGAGGACTCACTGAATTGCAACAGAATTAATTAAATCAGGAGAGGGCACAAAAGGTACAGCCAAATTATTAAGAGGCTGGGTTATAGAGGGAAAGAGTACAACTTGGAACATTTTTGTATTTGAATTACTCCCAGTTGAACTACAAATATATTAAGAGTTGAAAACTGTATGTTTGCATCTTGCAAATTACCCCTAAGTTTTAAACTGAGGGAAAAATATACACATTGACACAACAACTAGGGGGTGACAAAGTCAGAACATTTCAAAATAACATATAGTGGCTTCACTGTAAATCATCTTTACCATATTATCCAATAATGTTCCTGTGTCACAATTATATATGTCATATTTCACATTACCTGGATTCCTTTTAATGAAGATACTCCCATGTAAAGGAAAACACCATACAACACTGGCATAGGAATGAACTGTAAAAAAAAAAACAAAAAAAAACACCATACATCAAACAACTTCAGTAACAACAACTTAAGTGATCTTCCTAAATGTCCCAGCCAGAGGGCAGCAGCGTTGCATTGCTTGTCTGACTAACCTGCAGGGCTCCGGTCATGAATACAGAGCAGCCCATGAGCAGGAAGATGACCAGGCCAGTGAACCTCTGCTCTCTGATGCCCAGAAAGCGAGGCTGCTCTCCTGGAGCTGAGCTTTCTGACTCCAGCTTCAAGCTGTTGACGTGAGAGATGGACAGCACCGTGGCCGCTACGAACCAGGGCAAGCCCATGATGGAGCATACCGCCAGCATCACCCCGACCATCAGCAGGTCCAGGTGGTACCCACAGCCCTTCTGCATAACAGAGAGTACAGATACGTGCATGAATAACTGAGCTACAGTCTGCAGCTGAAAACAACGGTGCAGAGATATAGTTTCGTATGGCAGCTAGATGTTCTAAATTTCCAGATTTTTTTCTCACCAGCAGTTTGTGCTCTTTGCGGTTAATGATGACAGCAGTTATCTGTTGGTCCATGAAGATGAGAATGGTGCAGAGAAGAGCAGGAATCGATGCAGCCAGGACTGTCCACCATGGGTTGCGCCCTATTGGATCGATCAACCAACCTCGGTCGTCTCTGGTAGGCTGGAGGATCCCATTAAAGAGGAGTGAGGCCATGATTCAGCCATAACCATGTGGAGGTTTATATCAAGTTCAACCTTATTTTTATAATTTCTTCTATACCTGGAATTTGCTGGGAACCTTCAACTTCTGGGATGGCACTCCAATGGCATAGTCAAGCAGAACCATGAAGGCAATGGTGAGGAACACTGCAAAGTCACTGATCATGGAGCGCACCTGGGCATGGGTGATACGTAACAACACTCAGAGATCAGTAGTTACTAATGTGGCGTGTCAGGTTTTCCAATGTCTGGTATCTTAAGTGATTAGCCATACTGGTTGATTACCTTGGTTGGGAAATAACGACTAGTCTTGAATTGTTTGAGGAAGGCAGACATGAAGAAGGTTGAGAAGAACAAGATGGTAGACCAAAAGAGAACGTCTGGGGTGTATGGGCCATGGTGGCCACATGCCGTCCCAACAAACTGGCCCTGCAGACTGATACACTCCTATAGAGAGTCATGGAGGTTATTAGATGAAAATGGCCTTAGATGACTCATGAGAAAATGGATACATGCAATACATGCTTGTTTATCTACTTTCATCTGTGCATTTCAAGAGTCCATTTAGACCGGTCCGTCCGCCAGATGACTCATGAGAAAATGGATCAAAAGACTGTTGTATCTACATTATCTGACAGGCAGGAAGAGTCTACAAAGCAGTGAAAGCACATAAGAAACAAAGCAAGCCTTTGGTGTGCTCAGTTATACACACAGCAGTGAAAGGTTAATCAATTGAATGTCCTTGTCAGTGTTTGCAAATGTCCTTCAGAGAGGTTAGCTGCTCAAGGGAAGGTGAGGTGGGGGGCTAGTTGAATGTTAACAAAAGTAAACACGCTGGAGCAAATGCAAATTGTGCTATCATGTGAAAGACAGAGAGATTATGCTTCAAAGTGTGTGAGTGTGTGTGTGTGTGTGTTTCCACATAGTTACGTTACCTTGACGGTAAGGTTGGTCCAGGATACAGCAGAAGCTGTGACGTTTCTCTCACTCCACAGCTCTAAGGTTTTATTACTGGGATTATCAGGCTCTGCACACCTACAGCTACAGAGAGAGAGAAAGAGAGAGAAAGAGAGAGTGCAAGAGAGAGAGAGAGAGAGAGAGAGAGAGAACGGCTCTCAGTGGCTGACTGACAAGGATGGGCTCACATGTTTTATCAGTCAAATTAGGCCAGACATAAATGGAACTGCATGCAAAGATGTGGTTTGAAGGCTTTTAGAGGAGAACAGGAATGAAGAGACAACAAGGGCAAAAACACTCAGTGAGGAGTTTCTCACGATGAGAGAATAATAACTGTACATTCTTAGAGAAAAACAACAATCAAAAAACAAAACAATGAAAGATCTGAACATGCAGGTGAAAGCTAAAGAAAACAGATAGGGCGAACATTTTGCTACTCACTAGGCCAGCGTGAGTTTGTCCAGATCACTGTGTGCATTGAAGGGGTAGACTTCTCCCAGGTGGATGAGCTTCTCCAGGGCCTCGTAGATGAAGATAAGGCAGATGAGGGCGGCAAACGCCTCCTCTGTGAAGCGAGTGATGTAGCACACCAGGGAGCTAGCATCTGTGGCAACCAACACGAAACACAACAGGGCCGTCCACAGGCCGATGCAAGTCCTCAGCGACAGATAGGACAGCTTGTAGTCCCTGAAATGAGAAGAGGGGTTAGCAAAACAAATGTCAGGGCGGTGATGACATAAATCTCACAGAGAGTTTGTTGTAATACATACTTGCAAAACTTGAAGAGAATTTTCTCAAAAACCAGCACAGGGCCTGTGCTGCCCAGAATGGTGAGAGGCTGGCCAGCAAACAGAGAGTATGCTACTCCCGTCATTGATGCACCAAGTAAGGACTCAATAGCACTCTGCAACACATGGTGGAAATGGAGAGTATATGTCTTATGTGCAGTATAGTATTCAGTAAGATGTAAAATGTCTATGCTGTATCCATAATGTTTTAATCACATATGCGAGTACAGCATTTGCCTCTGTTTCAATGTCTGTCTGTTGAGTGTGTTTGTGCTCTTACAATGCGTCCCTCTGTCGCCTCCCCCAGCAGTCCTCCAAAGGTGATTACAGGAGACATGCAGGCACAGTAGAGGAAGAGGAAGGAGGCCACACACTGGAGGCTCATGCCGTCCTTAAAGTCGCTCAGATAGAACGGAGCTTTCCTCTTAATGTCCAGTATCAGACCACCGAACAACCTGATCATGACACGCAACAAAAGAAGAGAGGTGCTTAAGTTTAGATACATAGCAGTAAGTAAGTAGTAATCTAGCTCTCGGCAAGAAAGCTAATAAGCAGTATTAAAGTCAAACTATTTCTTCAAAGGTCCAGTGTGTAACATTTAGAAGGATTAGGAAAAAGAGAATTTTTTTTGTTACCTCAAAATTTGCCAATTTTATCTACAGATGCAGTGGATCTTCTTTCATAGGTTGCCATGTTGAACCACCATGTTTCTTCAGCAGCCCAGAATGGACAAAACAAACACTGGCTCCAGAGCCTCCTTCCTATATTCTCTCCTACACACTTCACAGCCCGTTTTCATTTCCAGGTCATCAAATATCAACGTGAGCGGTGTTCAGTTGGTTGCAATCTGCAATTTCCCCTCTAGATGCCACTAAATCTTACACACTGGCCCTTTAAGCGGGAAACTGGCTAACAACTAATCAGCAACCAGCAAAAGGTATAATTTCATGTTGTTCAAGTACAACAAAACAAACAAACAAAAAACAATACAAATTTCTCTAGGGTCTCATTAGTGAATTTCACTTCATCCAGTGTGTGTCCTAGTGGCATTTTAAAGACCACTCTTCCACTAAAGAGATAATTAAAGGCCCTAGACTGCCATGGTCTGCCCACACAGGTGTTTTCACTCCCCCGATTTGACCTCTTTCCATGACTGTGTGGGCGTGTACAGACTGTGCTTGAATGCCATTTCTCTTTGCACTCTCCTTTTGCAACTGTTATTGATACGTTTAATTTAGTGACTTCATGTCATTTCCAGTATAGCTCAACCTGTGCAGATAATCAGCCAGAATAACCTAAAACATCAGTGCAGCAAGGTGAGATGTAAAACGACTGGGTTTCAACAAGAAACAAGATGTGCAGAGTGTTCAGAGTATTTTGGTGTGTGCTTGTCTATCAGGCTGTCACACTTGGCCACTGTGGTTGTCACTTGCTTGTCTCACTTCAGCTCCTCACAAATCCAAATTTAGATTTTGTGATCGCATCAACTGACAAATACGGTGGTGAGTGCTAAACTCAGCCTCAGGCTTCCACATATCCCTTCAGAAAACAAGTGCTTAATCCATGTTTTTACACGGGCTGTTTTTATGACAGCGTATCCTGATATTCAACATCTGTTGGGTATAACATCTTGCTTTTTACATTTTAATTTTGCGTCTTTATTTACCATGGATTATAGCACGCATTACTGAAGAAACAAGCCTGTGTAACAAACCTGCAAAAGACAGATTACCTTCCAGTTCTCTGAAGCTCTGGCCCATGGTACTCAGCATGTAGCTCTTCCTCTACCTGGCAGGCTGTGCCATTAGGGACTCCAGGCATCTTCCTCTTCTCCTGCACGCAACCAATAATAGACATATATCAAAAAGTAGCTCTACACTTTACTTAAACAGCCACTGTTGCTTATTGTAGCAAAAATACAAACATGAAAAGCAAATATCTATGTCATCATTGTTGTTTACCTGAGAGGGGACACTCTTTGGGGGCTCGATGCGGATGGAGGGGTCCCACTCTCCTGGTGGTAGGACCGTCACCTGGTCCAGGAATTCATCTATCCCCGCCAGCAGGTCACTTCTGTCTTTTGCCTTGTAGGCTACATCATGGAAGATCTGGTCCAGACAAAAGTGAAGGATAGAGGAAACTTAACAGCCTGACTTCACACGCAAGACAGATGCTGAGATTTAATTTGTTGTGGGAAGGTTTCTGAAGGTAGATTTTAATTGACGGAGCGCTCTTACTTCATCCGTCATGATGGTTGCCATGGAGCGTCCAATTTCGTGGTATTGCTGAGCCTTTCCATCTGGGCCCAGGAGGATGAACAGGAACCTAATATTTATGATTTAGAGAATTTAGATCATTCCTGGATTGTTGAATTCACACAATTCATGTTTTTATAACTAAACTAACTGCACTGGAGAGCAGTGGCTGTCTACCTGGTAGGTATGGGGACCTCAGTGAGTCCGGTGAGCAGCACAGCAGGGGAGAGACGGACAAAGGCCACAATGGGCCTCTCCAGGAAGTCCAGTTCTCCCACCAGTACATTGGAGGCCTCTGCACCCTCTGGGATTTTCTTCATGAAATGCAGATCCACCTGGCGAGACAAGGTAGAATTCAATATCACATAAAAATACAAAAAATGACTTAATACCTACAGTAGTAATTGTAAGAGATCCCTGCATCCTGTCACTTTAGAACAAACAGTGCAAACAGAAATCAATCTTACACATAAAGCTGTCCCACCACAGGTGCAGCCTAATACCAGAGAACCTAGGTAGCATTTCAGTGCTTGGGATATTAAATAATGTAGATATGTACTCAAAATCCCAGGTGGAAATTAACGGCTAAATGGAAGCTTTTATCTGTGTCCTGTATGTGGCTCTACTAAACAATCTTGCAGTGATGCACTGTGATCAGATGAAGTTTTCCTGTTGTTTCCTAGGGGGCACTGTGTGACCTAGTTGATGATGTTGACAGTACACCAAACACTGATTACAGATCAGAGTGCTATGCATAGAGGTGATAGCCCTGTACAACCAGAAAAGGTTGCTGTTACTGCTGTATTACCCTAATTATATCTACTCTTCACAGCATCCATCCATACGTAAACAGTGTGCACTGAGAAATTGCACACAGTTGTGAGAAAAAACCCTTGCTTGTTTACCTTGCTGAGGTCCACTTGGGTGCTGTCTTGTCCGCCACCATTCTTGGCTGGTTCTGTAGCTGGCGGAGGCTGGGTAGATGTGGCTGACCCCGCTGGACAGTAAGAGTGTGGGTGTGCATGTGCGTTTGAGAGAGAGAGAGAGAGAGAGAGAGAGAGAGAGTACATACATTTATTGGCCTGCCAAAGTGCAAAGTGAAAAAAACAACCTAAGAAGGCAGTAATGCTTAGCTGCCAATATATCGCCCATTTGCTCAGGAACAGTTAAATGTTTTTTGGCAGTTTGTTCCTAAAAGCATCCAGTGTCACTGTTTAAAGATCAGACTTTTCTACATGTCTGTCTGTTACTTAGTCTTGTTTCTTTTAGTATCTTCCAGTCTCCTTTTATTGCCCAGTTTTTGTCCATCCATAATTCTCATACAAAATTGTGTGCAGTCTTATTATATCACAGTCAACTCATATTTACTTTCCACTGATTCTGTAGCCAGATGTCCAAAAGTAAGTATAACTTCCATGAGACTGAATTTCTAAATTTGATTCACACCAACAGATGATCTGTGATGTGTGCATGTGTTGTACAGTATCCCAGAGTCCCACCTGTCAGCTGGGGCTCTGACTGTTTGCGGTTTCCCTCAGTGATGGAGCGTACGATTGGCATCAGGTTCTTCTTCTTCTCATTCTGGTGGTGGTGTCTCTTCAGCAGAGCCTCGCGCACCTTCACTCTCACACTGTCGTCCAGCTCATTGGACGCCTCCTGGTGGTCCAGCACCATGTCTGCAGCACATGGATGAAGAAATATGCAGATAGTTGTGTTGATATGAGACAAATTAATGGCATGTGACAGATTACTTTGTATAGTATGTACATATTTGTGCTACTCTGACCAGAATTTGAATCCATCACCAAGCTCTACAAACAAAAACCTAGTTAATAAAGAATCTTAATCCTCCAACTATAAAGCCTTCCTTGAACTGTGCAACATTTGCTTTTTCCTTTAATTGCTGTAGTTAAATTGTAATAATGGCCTCACACATCATCAGTATGTAAAGGCACAGTGCTGAGCAGAGAGTGTGCGTTGGAAGGTCAATATGTGTCCAACATATCTGTGAGACTGCAGAGAATAATCAGCATCTCTTTCACTACCCCTCTCCCAGTCCTTTTTTCCATAGTGACCTGCTGAGTCAGCACTGGATCTTTCCTTCCTTCTTTCCTTCCCTCCTCCACAGTCAATCAAACTGTATGCCCGGTAACCACACACACACACACACACACACACACACACACACACACACACACACACACACTACACCACTGCAGTGCCTGCCTTCATTCTGAGCACACTTCAAGGCCAGCGCTAATGTGTTGAACTTAGTGCCACTATAATCAGCCATGTTAATAAGGACAGTGACAAGAGAACCACACAGAGGAGCCTCAAATTAAAAACTCACAAACTCACTACATCTAATGCATCCTCCTTTCACAATTCATAGACTTGAGGATCACGTTCCTTTTAATTTCAGACGACGGCTACAGCTCTGCCTCCTCCAAAGTATCACTTGACAGACATCCATCAGTTATGCATATGATAATGAGACACATCCAATAATATCTGTCATATTTGAAGAACTGGTGTATGCACCCTCTGTTATTTTACTCACACTCTTTGTTCATGTTAATTAGCAGTTATTTTAATGAAACCTCCTACAAGGACTTTTTAACTTGTTATGAAACAGTCTCAGTTTAATACTGATACCTCTATACGACCACATGAGACCAGAGAAGATGGTTATTTCTATATAGTTATTCTTAATGCCTACAACCAGGTCAAATTCACTCAGATTACCCTTGAAATCAATGAAATGAGGTGGTGGAAACACTACCACAGTTGTCCACAGAGGCCAAATGAAAGTTCACTGTTGCTGCTTTAAATAAATTACCATCTGATTTTCAATTTGAGAGTAATTAGTCAAATGTCAGACTTTTTAAAACCAGGTGGATTAAGAGCATGCTGGCTTCCAAAATAAAACCTGCATAACTGATTTAGCTTACATTTACCTACTTGAATTCCACTAAACGTTTTAATTAAATGAGTTGGGCACCAGGGTGTTAGACAGACAGGGAGAATTACCTTCAACCACACAATCTGTGTTAAAGTCTTAATGTATTAGATCTGGTAATCCATCCTATAGCTCCTTGGTGCTACAGACATTCATTCCTGTGCTTCAAAATAGAGGTTTTGCTTTATGCATTGCATGATAAAGACTAGAATATTCCTTTTAGGCAACTTCAAGCCTTTTCTATTACATTATCTTGGTCTCAGATTGCCTACACTTCCAAAAATAAACAAGTGAATAAATAAAGAACTTTTTTTTGTCTCCATCTCTTCTACCATCTTGGCTACCGTTTGAAATACAGGTGCTGCTGGCAGGAGTCACATGCAGAAGAGAGGGAAGTGAGAAGAGCAGTGGAGAGCTGGAGAAGAGGAATGATTGCAGGCAACAAGGCTGTTCAAGATTGTAAACCTGTCACAATCTGACCATGAGGAGTATGGAGGACTGACTGATGGAGAGCCTTAAACCACGTGATCTTTTTATGTGTGTGTGTACGTGTGGGGTGGATGGTCAGCAATGTGAAACACAATTTGCAAACAGTTTTGTTGCCTTTGTTTAAATCTATTTAATGATTAAATTGCAGGAGACTGTGTAGTGAGGAAGGCTGAACCATTGTGTCTTCATTTGGTGTATGTGTGTGTATGTGTAAAAGCTTGCACTTTGAATATAAATCATTTACATGTCTGTCTGATTTAAAACCATGATCATTCGTTCAGGTCACTCATGGACATATGTGGACAAAGCTTACCCAATCGTGTGCTCGCATGCAAATTACAGGTGTGTAATAAATTGCATACTTGCATGCAAATGAGCTCAAACTGTTGTAGTAGCTTTATGTAATTGTGGATTTTAATGCAAATCAGGTTCAACAGGAGTTTAGCTGCAATAATTCAGTAAAATGCAACCACCGAGCAGCTATACTGAGCATTTAGAGCCACTGGTGTTCTGTAAGTATGGAAAATCACTGGCCAGTTTTGTGCTCGTTTATGTTTACATCACAGGACAGTAATTTAAATTAAATTGAGACTCACAACAAAAGTCTGTGTGTGTCTGTTTGTGTGTTTGTACATCTCGAGTGACGAGGATGCTCCCCTCAGGCCTGTACTGTATGTGCGTCTCCTCTCTTAGGAGGATAAATCGATTTGTAGCACGCATCCAGCGGGCATCTCAGCTGAGATATAGAGCCTGTTTTATATCAATGAGTGTAACACTCAAGGACAGGGGCGAGAAGTGACTTTAGAGAGCAGGAAAGCGAAAGATGGGAAAATAAATTCTTATCCATTTGAAGAAGCAACACCAGTCACTTCCACCAATGATTAAAAACTGATTTCTTGCACCGTCAGACAGAGCTAACCTCTTTTTGTCAGGATAGATAGCGCTTTGGTACTAATATATTAATATATGTCAGTTGGGAAAATTCTCACCTGCAATCTCTTCAATGCAGTCAGCATGCATGTCAAGCAACACACTGCCATTGATAATGCAACTGCGGAGCTCAAAGAGACTGTGAAGGGAAAGAGTAGCGACATAGGGCTTGCTCCACCTCTCCCCGCCATCCTCCACATCTTCCTCAAACTTCAGCCACCTGCGAGGTGAAGACAGGCAAGAACTTTGTAAGTATGAGTAAATGTGAAGTACTATTATCTTTCACACAAAAAATAATGGTTATTCATCAAATTTCTTACAACTTAAAAAGGCTCTTAAATTTAAGAGTAAATGCAAGATGACAGTACAGACACAAGTGATAAGTGAGTTGAACAGACCCCTTTTGAGACATATTCTGGAAGGATTATAAAAAAATAACCTTGGTCATGATAAATAATACATTAATATAATTAATAAAAAATTTAATAAATCTAAAGCAATTACATTTTATTCAGAATATGGTTATATTTAGCCTATTATTTGCATTTTATTTGAACATTTCATAGGATGTTACACCAACTACAACAAAAAATCTTACATTGATTTTGTTTGCAATCTCTTCGCATGTATCTTCACTGTAGTACTGCATTTTCCATAAATACAACATATATTTATTTTGATATATTTTTAGATTATAAATATATTAGATTGTTGTCTCACATCTTAAATGCTAGTGGAAATATTAAATATTTCACAAAGTTATATTATAAAAATATATATATTAATGATTTTTAAAAAGTTACTTTTAGAACTTGCAGAATAATATATTACTGAGTAAATTTAAGGATTAAAAAATCTATGGCAGATTACTAGCAGTCCTTGTCTCTGACTTGCTATTCCTTTTGGTGATTATGTGATCACTTGAAAGTTGCTCTTATATATAATATAATATAATATAATATTTCTCCTACACTTCGCTGAAAGTAGGAGTGACTTAATTGATAAATGTGGTCACTCAGTGAAAAAACATTTTGCTCCCAAGTTGGGTCTTTAGAGCATGTAAAGTGTAATTCTTTGAAGTTTGATAAAAACAGGCCCATTTCAACTGAATGCAAACAAGAAGAAGGGAGCATTATACCTTACAACGAAAACCCATCCCACACACACGTCAGCTTTACATCTTTTACATTGTGGTTTACACCATTTCCACTTAGGAAAGATCATAGACGTAAACATCAACCACACAATAAGAGGGAAACGTTTGAGAAATGGCATTTGACCAGCATGAATGAGTTTATAGCAATGGTTTTTTGTCGTCTCATTTGAGCTTGGAGCTAACCTACCAAAAAACAATTCAGTAAGCTTTAAATGCAACTACCACTTGTACACTTGTCCCTCTTCGTAACAGTGCAGCTGTAGAGCCGCAGGACTGTCAGAAGCTTTATTGCCAAGCATTGTTGCCAACAGCTCCCAGAGGAGATCCTGACCTGGCTGTTTCTTTCCACTCCGCATCCTTGCCATCCTTCACACAGATCTCATCCAACTCAGTGAACAGCTCATGGGCCACATGTTCAGCATCCTCCTCTGTGCCCAGAATGAACTGGACCCGCTGGGACGGTGTGTCTGATGAAGTGAGAGGATGAGAAGGAAGAACAAGTGGTGAACAAACACAACTTACTTTGTCAGTGCGTGCCTTTTAAATGACTGCTGGGTACATATATACACACGCACACATTCACAGAAATCTACCTAAGCACATGCACACACACATGCAACATGCTGACTAGTTCCTGTTCTTTCGTGGTTAATTAGTGGGCTTGTCAATTTTAGCCTGGAGTGCTGCATGTGTGTGTGCAAGTGTGTGCAGTGTCCACAGTATTGATAGGCTTTGTTTAACAGCCACTGCCCCCCCTCTGGGAGGTGGATGTGCAAGTATGCACACATGCTCTATACTGAGATCAAAGTCAATCTTTTTTTCTCTCTCCGACTGATAAATGACTGGATGAGCATTAAAACATACTGGATTTGAAAAGTAAAAGACACTGTAGGCTAAAAAGAGGTTTTGTGTATATGTGCGTGTGTGTTACCATGACTAGAGGTGGTCGTCTCAGTTTCCTCGCTTTGTTGTGTTGCGAGGCTTCCTGCCCGTCTGTCTCTCTTACGGTGCCGAGAGCCATGAGGCTTGTGGTGACGATGGCTCTGCCTGGGCATCCGAACTCCCACAAACAGAGTCCTGTGGCCTAAAAAAGAGGCGAGAGAGGAGATTTTACTTTTATCACTGAGTAATGCTTTTAAAAACACATAGTGTTATTTACTGTGAAATAAACATTTTGCTGTAATATCATCACAGAAGATTCTATTCACGTGTCAGGGTTTTACTACTGGTTGGACATTTAAGTGCAACTTAATTTAAGAAAATTACAGATCAAAAGAGAATCGAAAAAAACATCATCATGATTATATAAAGAGGCAGGAAAGTTCAGTAACTACACCTTAGAGATATACAGGACGACAAAATAAATAGTACTTAATTCTATATGGATACTAATCTAATAGTGAAAACAGCTGTCTGCTTTCTTCAGATGAGCATTAGGCCTCCCTGAACTGTGTAAACTTAAATATACGTTAAAAAGGAGAGATTTTATATTTTTAAGTGTTTTGTATTTCAATTCAAGTTATCTGATAAAGGTTGCATCATGAACGTCATGCGTTTCATTTCTGAATACATTTTTCTCTTTGGCCTTGAAAGTGTTCAGAGCACTCTCTTGTTATCAGATCCTCTGTGTTTGGCTGTAGCTTTATCAAAATCTGTTTTGAACACAGGCTTTTGTCTCCAATACTTGGTAACTTCCACGAAACAAAACCTACACATTTTTTTACATTCTGTTTTTTACTTATTTGTGCTCCATTTACCTTGTGTTAATTTAACAGTTTTTATAATATGGATTCACTCTGTCCACTTTCAAAGGCGTTTGTCTGATCATCTGACCTCTTTTCAAGGTGAAACATATTGTTGAACTCATTGGAGATTTGTTTACACCCAGCATTCAGTATATGGGTTGTGGTATTTCCACTCTATAAAAACATTTCCAAGTACATTTCCCTTCAGTCTTTCTGATGAGATAATTTGAAACCCTAATTAGCTGAGGATAAAACTGACATCTTCCTGTATTCCACATGGAACAACAAAGAGAAAAAAAGAATAAAAGAGAATAGAGCAGAGGAGGGAACTGCTAATGGGTTGAGTTGAATAAGCTGCGCTGTGGTCTCTCATCTCAGATGGTTAAAGTGATTGAAAGCGAAAACCATTAAACTCAGGGTTAGGTGTTGGCCCAGACCTCCATGGGGAGAATCAGGGAACAGCGCTCTGCTTCCGGTCCCACATTAGTCCCAACCACTGCCATCTGTAATTATCATCAGCATGTTGCATTCAGTGTTGAATGCAAAATGCTGTGATAACAAGAAACTGAATGCATGTGACAGTGACAATGATGTACTTTTATTTGAATATCAAATTACTCAAGTTAAAAGAATTAACTGCTGAAATGATCAGACAATTAATAAAAGTGTTTTGGAAAATTGTTATGAATAAAATGGAACAAAGTTTGAGGCAGTTTGATGTGCATCTTTGTGTGTGTGTTTGTGCATGACAAATATTTTTGAGGATACAAAGCTACTGAGCTGTAGCTGAGTGTTCCATCTCTGAACATGTTTATTATCCCTCCAGGAAAGCGATAATGGGCCTACTGACACACACACACACACACACACACACACACACACACACACACACACACACACACACACACACACACACAAACACAAACACACACACACCTGTCTCCTCCCAGTGATGACAGAATGACAGATCCCCCTACAAGCCTCCTCTGAATAGATGGAGGATTCATTATTAATGTTCAGATCTATTCATCTCCACCAGACAAGGAGACAATATAACATCCCCATGTCCTCAAAACAACTCCACTGTAAAGTATTTACACACACACGCAAAAAAAAAACCTAAAAAAACATTAGAAATGACTTAATCATGCAGAAAACGCTCCATCATACTGTGTGGTCTCATAGAATATATATGACATAGAGTAAGTGGTCTTAGGAGACCTCCTATAGATGAAGGCAGATCACCTGTGGTGTAAGGTAATTAACTAAGGAGTATACTGTCAGTACAGGTACAGGTTAAGATGTCATACTTCTGCTCCACTACATTTCAGAGAGAAATAAATGTGTGAGAAACTGCAATTTCTTCACTCCACTCCATTTAGGCAATCTGATAGGTGCAATTACTTTTCAATGCATTTTTGCATGCAAAACATCTGATAAAATAAAGCAGAATCATGGTTAGAGTTTGCACTGCATGTGTGAAGGTCAACTCAGTGGGCACAAGACGCATGATTTACTATGCACCTGCCAAACCACTGTTCGGAAAAAATATGGACACTTTTATTGAAGCTAAAAATAAAATTAAAACAATGGAGCTCTGCTGGGGGAATGCAGAGATATTGCTGCTTGCTTTACTTTAAGTAAAGGAAAAGGAGCCAAATCCATAGAGAAATGAATCAACACTAAATCAATTTCAACTGCCAGCATGCTGCTCCTCTGGCCACTCTGCAATTAGTGATATAACAACAGAACCTCTGATTGATTAGGACCAACAGAGAGCATCAACGTCAGTATTAGATTAAGTTGACAATTATGACTTTTGTTTTGTTTGTGTGTCACTGACACATATCCCATCAGAACATTTGAAATAATACCATAAATATTCCTGACATAGTTACTTTAAGTAAAGGGTTTGACTATGTTTTCCACCTGTGCATGTTACTCACCTTCTAGTTCCTCCTTCTCATAGTGGATGTTTAGATGTGAGCTGGTCCCTCCCTGGTCTACCACCACCTCCTCATCTGGCCTCTGGTGGACACACAAAAGACATGTTAGTGTAATGCTACTGTTCTTTTTGGTGATATTCAGTGCAGATAACATACATTCATTTGCAACATCCTCTGTCTCCAGCAGCCATATTGTTCTTATGGAAAAGTTCAACTTTGTAGAACACCTTCAGCCTTTCAAGATCAGTCTGTGAAAGGAAACCTAAAAGGTCATTATGTCCAGAAGTGTCCTGCTAAACACAAACTACTGGCACTATAACAGAGCCACTAATTGGCAAGAGCTTTTCAACAATGAGCATCAAATTCCAGACAGTCTATTCTCAGACAGTCTGGCACACACACGTATATAAACACACACACACACACACACACACACACACACACACACACACACACACACACACACACACACACACACACACTGCCAGAGGTAAACAGAGTATGTCAGTCAGTTGGAGATTGTGCTAGGCTCTACTATCCAGGGGAAATCAAATCAAATCAAATTAGCAGAGTGTCACTTCCATCAGGGATGCTGCTGTTGGCAGACCGCTGCAGGATGTCACTGTGTTTTACTATCCCTTTTTCGGAAACAGTGCTGCTTGCTCACATGCAGCAGTGAGTGTTATCCGTGGTCATGTATTGGCCCTATAATGAGGGCAGAGTGCTGCAGGAACCTCTAGAGTAGCTCTGGTGCTCTGTGCTGCTGCAGTGTCTCCGTTTACAGGATCTCACTTTATCCATCTGCACAAGTGCATGCAACAGACAGTCTTTCATTTCTAATCTCTGGGAAGCTCGCACACACTGTTAACGGTCCAGTTTTTAACATTTAGGAGGGTCTTATGGCAGAAATGGAATATAATATACATAACTATGTTTTAATTTGTGTATTATCACGTGAATATAGGAATTGTTATGTACCTGTTATCTTAGAATGAGACACAGATGTTGGTAATTTGGCAGGTTACAAAATTAGAAATCCTACTATGGCGAATGTATGACCCGCCCTACTCTGCCTCTGCCTCTGATTGGCTAGTACTCTTTGCCTTTGTTGGTGGGGTTGGTTAAGGTTTGTGCATGAGGAGTGAGATTGGGTAGGGTTAGGGTAAACCAATCAAAGATGGGTCATGGAGTGCATTATGTTGAACCACCATGTTTCTACAGTAGCCCAGAATGGACAAACACTGGCTCTAGACACACACACACACACACACACACACACACACACACACACACACACACACACACGCCACACTGCAAGCACTGCAGACCTATAGTCTCTGCCATGCAATCTTTTATCATAATTGGTCAGTCCAGTATCCAGCGGGTATAGCGAATACAGCATGCCCTACAGCTTGGGCTGCTACATGGTGGCCAGAGAGCAAAAATAATTGCAATGCGTCTTACTAAAGAACTACTGAAAAGAGCTGAGAGTCTGTTTTAGTGGAGTGGAAATGAAAAAGTCTTGGCCTGTCAGAGCAGTGTTCATAAGGGCGTGATCCTCATGTATCATATTCTTTTATAACAAAATATAAAAACATTTGTCCTGTTAATGAGAGTGATTGGTCACTTTATTAAAGCTTTCCAGGAGGACACAGACTGCATTTGTACTGAAGTACCCTAGATGTGTGTATGGAGCAAGAGCGAGCAGTGATTTTTCTTAGTTCTCCTGGGGTATGGCTGATAAAACACCACGCACAGTTTATTGACAAAAAAACTCATTTTTGAATCATGCTGGTTTCCGCCTGCAGTTATGAAATTTGATAAATGGGGATAGTGCTATGTGTATGTGTGTGTGTGTGTGTGTGTGTGTGTGTGTATGTACCGGATAGTGCTGTGCGTATGTGTGTATTATCTCTATTTCAGACTGTATTTACATGCACACTGAAGTCCCTAAGCTGCTTTCTATCTTGTCTCATTCCTTGAGCCTCTCCATGCTGCTAAAAACTGAACAGCTAAGCACATTAACACAAGATTGTGGTAAGAAAAACCTAATTAACAGGCAGCACAGACAGATACATGTCTTACCTGATTATACGAAGAAAAAAAAAGATCAAATCCAACTCCGGAAAGCTTTGTTTCTCTTTATGTCAACTGCTCTAATATCAGCGCAGACAGCCACTTATAATTCACACAACAGTTTAAAACAGCCTCGGGATCCCAAGACATCCACTTATTTCACAGGTGTGGGTGGCCTGGCACTGCCTTCCTGCCTTCTTGCCTCCTTTCACACCCTCTCCACCATATCGGCCTTGTGGGATTTCTTTCTCTTTCCATGACTGAGCATTTCTTTATCCCAAGACAATTCTGTCCTTATAAAGAATAAGGCCACTTAATGAGGAAGTCATGCTTAGGCCACACACTGTGTGTGAGTCATGGTTTTATAATTATGTTTATGAGTTGAATGACAGGGATGGAAGTAAACTTTTACCTAAATGTCTTGAGTCACCATCATCCTTCCTGTGTTTCTCTCATCAGCAAATGGAATCTAAAACCGTTACTGGCTATATTACATATATATTATGTTATAATGTATAGAACAATGTAGTGGAATTATGTTACTTCTGACATACTGTATCTCCCTTAAATACCAGTCACATTCTGAAATCTGCAGCATAAGCCAGTGTCTATACATGACATTTCTTTGTTTTGATATTGACATTACAGTATATATCAGCCTGCCCTCTAAACGTCGACATAGGCCACTGAAAAACGTATATCGGTCGACCATTACATGCAGATTCACTCACTCACACACAGCGTTATCAGTTAGCGCAGCTGTGGCTGGTGAATTAGGCCTTCTATGCAGCGTGTGGGTTGGGGCTTACGCTGGAGGCAGTCAGCTCCATTAGAACTGGCGCTTTACCAAACATATAGATACACAATACAAGAGAACAGATGAGAGAAAGAGAGATTCTAAAAGCCCTTTGTCCTACAAAGGACGGAAGACCATCAGGTCATTAGTTTGGATCCATGTCGTGCACACACACACACACACACAGTGTGTAGTCTCCTGAGGCTCGTTCAATAACTATAATTACAGAGTGGGTGAAATTGTGTTTCAGAGAATGACATGACAGAAAAGAAAATCATGTTTTAGGTCATATTTTGTGGGCGAGATCAGATTACGGGACTATATATTCATGCCATGATTATGATGTTCCTTTTCCTCCATGCTCTTCATAACACGACTCACAGCCCGCAGTCATCCTGGTCACAATTCACCAGGAACACCTTCTTAATGGCAAATTCATGCAGGTATGTATTTTCTCAACAGGTTAATGGTTCCCTGTCATTCACAACTCACCTCCCTTGTGTCACTTAAAGTGTTTCAGCTAATTAAAAGCTCACATGGCACTTAAAGTTTTGTTTGCTCTCTCTGTGTGGGTGAGCACATCTGTGAGCCTCGAAGCATGCACATGTGCGTGATTTTCCACTGACATGGCAGATAATTTGTGTTTTGCTGCCTATTTCTATCTCCTGGCAACTGTCGCTTTTTCTTCACTCTTGTCCTCCAGCTTTTTATCAGTCACAGTGCTCAGGAGGGTTTATGACTCAAAAATAATTATCCACACCGATTACTGCCACTGCGCCACAGAAGCAGTCCACAGCTAGCCCCAAAATGGCTGCCTGTCCTTGAGTTTCTGTTAAGCATATCAGTGGTAGCCACCCATGGGAAGAACACACTGGAACTGCCTTGTGGGTGGATATGAGAAAAGAAACACATGATGGTGCCAAATCAAATGACCTGAGGATAAAGTCATGTGAATTTACAAAGGGAAAAAAACCCATCAGAGCATTTTATTCTGACAAGCACACAACTCCTTTTTGGTTTAGTAGCACATAATAAATACTTATTTAGTATTTGCAGCCCAAAATATTCAGTTTGTCCTTCTAAACTTTTCTAAAAAGAGGAGGTTATTTAAGGATAGCTTTACAATCTTTCAAGTCTGTTTGAAAACAGTAGATAGGTGCTCATATGGGCAATGAAACTAAAAAAAATCAATGTGGACAGAGGACAAAATCCGCAATACTCGTTTTCTGTAAAACATTGTTTATAATTGGCCTGTAGCTAATATGAAGCTTCAAAACAACTGGATATCTTCCAATGTCTTTTTTGTATTTGAGATTAAAGAGGGAATTTTGTGCTATAACATTGTGAGAGATACCCAGTGGATTTGAAGCCTAATACCAATCCTTCTATTCAATGCATTTGTATATTTATTGGCCCTTGAAGAGTTTGGGCACCCTATTATTGTGTCTCAGCATGTAAAAGCCAAAAAACAGAGAGACGTTATTGCTTGCCTACGTTTGATAACTAAACAAACACTAGATGTATATTCTGGCAGGGCAGATTGTCCCAGAAAGATGTTCGACTCCCAGAGCAGAATAAAACAGTTCGGTCGCACACAGTGTCCTACTTTTGAAGCTGATAAACCTTCCATTGATGCAGAAAATAGACATAAATACACACAGGTTCAAGACGAGAAATCATCATACATTCTCAGACTTCAAAAAGCCTAATTCCTCTTCCTTCATGTCCTGAGTTAATGAATTTGCTCCTCGGGAAACCCACCATGTTAGTGAGCGGTCAGAGCAGTTTTGTAAAACATTTCTTGGAGATAAAACAAGTTTTTTGGCAACAACAATATGATAATTGTCAAAGTGTAATTCAGTGGAACACACTGAACTCACCCTGAACAAATAGAGCAGCAATGATTTGCATCCCAGTCTCCTGACTGAGATGGGCAATCAATGAGCTTTGCCAAAACGCCCTTTCACTCCATTAGGACTATGAGGGAGCTCTGTGTCGAGCCAACTTCATAGGACTGGGGCCTGCTGGTTATTATGAAGAGGCTTGAAATCCAGAGGAATAACTGACAAGACATCACAGACTCTGGCTAGGAATATAATTTCTTACTCCTGTGAGCATACATTGTTGTAGGAGCAAGTTTATCACAGCAGTGAGGAGAACAGCACTGCAAGACAGTTAATGGTAAATTCATAAAAGTGCATCTATGATTAGGCAGCGCAGCATGAGCTTTCGAGCCTTTTAAGATGTCTGTCTCTACTGACTCAACTGACTGTTACAATGAAAACATAACACTTGTTGAACATTTCTCTTGAGATGACTTCCACTATTCCTCTTGTTGTGTTTCTCTGCATTTCCTATTTTTATCTGTCCAAGCCAACACCACTTCCTCCCCTCTTTGGAAGCTTACCCACTCTCTCCTCCCCTCCCAGAAGCACTCTGAACTGACAGCAGGGACACATATCCTGACTCAGACAACTGGGCCTGTCACTTCCAGACTGGTCTTTATGTCTGAGAGCCAGGATGCCACAGCCGAGGGCTACCACTGCCCCCTCATAGCATTACGCCATCCCTGGACTGCTGTGGCGACACATGTGACAGTGCTTCACTGAGAGGAGGGGTTAACATGAATGGATGAAAGGAAGAGGTAATGGTGAAAAAGTGAGACAGGAAAGAAGAGAGCTGGAGGAGATAGGATGAGAGGGGCGGCTGTTTTGACTGCTTCAGCCCACGGGTAGCATGAGTCATACACACCTTATTCAATACCGCACATACAATTCTGCCTCTCCACAGTCCTCGCTCTATAATTGTTTTCTTTCCAGAGAGATTTTTGCTTACGGTTTGCTGGGTGAAAGAAAATAATATACACTTGAATTAAAACTGCAGATTTTGGAGGTTCACCTCGCATTAGTCATCAAATTGAAACCATAAAACATTCTGGATGGATCAAAAACAAAAACTAAATTCTTAAATTTGTGTGTCTGGATGATTCTGGACATATATCTAAAGGTATTTTTTTCCCCACTCATATCAGTTCTACTGATCAGTGGGAGGTTTAAACCTCTGTGGATCTTTCACTCTAATGTGTGTTCCTTTAAACTAAATGAATCCCATTAAATTTGGCTTTGGGCAACTGTAATAGTTTACAAACATGAAGTGGTGTATTGAGTACTTTAAAACATTAAATCGAGAGTTTTTGAGACCCATTTAATAGATGGAGAACTTGATTAAATTAGATGGACCAGTCTGATTAAAATTAAAGCTTTGGATGGATGCCAATTAACAGTAAAAGGACTGAAAAGGGAACTGTGACAATCTTGTGTTGGGAAGCTGAGACAAATTTATGATGTGAGTGTCACAAATCATTATAAAACTGGAACTAGATTCACTGTCTTACAGTATCAGGGCTGTCACTATAGTGACACCATGAAAAGCTGTAGTATTATGATGCTGTCTCTCAGATGTAAAACAATTAAACAAAAAAAAAAACCTTACTGCTCACAGTAATTGCACTCTGGTCTGGTTTGTGATACGGTTTTGTTTTGCTTGTTTTATGAGGGTTTATTGATTTCCAAGTATATTGATATGGTTATAAATATGTGGAGAATCATTGGAGTCAGTGACACTGAAAAGGGCTGAACGCAGAGGCTGTTTCAGTTAGGAAGCAGTAGTGTGGAATTAGATGTATTCACATAAAACATGACTTCTTTTGGGGTTTGCTTTAAATACTTTTACTCTTCCTCTTTGACAGCACTTTTTTGTGATGTTTTCATCATTTACTTATTGTTAATAAGTACTTCATCAGGTTTGCTATTGAAGAACTAATTGTTAATTCCTCCAACTATGATGATCCTTTACTTTAGGGGGCACAAAAAGGGTAAGTGATGGTCATTTAATAATGAAGTTAGGAATTAACTACTCAGTATAATGTACTACTTAAAGTGGGGGGTTACAAACGTGAGTAACTAATTAACTATTATTACTATTAAGTAATAAGTAATTAATAGGTAGTTACTAGTTTTGTGCCGCTCAGTGGCTGATTTATAGTTAATCACGAACCACCCATAAAAAAAGTGGTCGTGAACACATCATTAACTAAAGATTGATTAATATAGTATCTCTGCTCTATAGTAACTCATCACTATGTAGTCCTTGATTCTGTGTTATTCAGGAACTATTAAAGATTCATTTATTCATTCATTCGTTTCTGATTTGATTACTTGTTCCTTAGTAACTACTCACAATTTTCAAGTGTTTTCATGACAAACTGTGTTCACTCATCTCCACCTCGGAACTGCTCATGTAAGTCTGGTTTCTGTACTGCTGGCCATAAGCAGCTCTAACTCACAGCAGAGGGGGAAACTAATAACAGTGTTTAGTAAATAACTGTAAAGCAAATTTAAGGTATTGGTACTTTATGGTATTTTATCATAATTTTGAGTGATCTAGTTTTCTGAATTACCGTCTGTACAATATTGCAACCTGATTATAGCTAGCTACGTTCTGCCAGATGAACAATAGTGAATTGAAATAGTTGGCTTGATGATTCCAGCTACAATAATAATATTAACTGTGCCTGTAAATTGAAATTAATCTAAATCCAATATGATTTTGTTAGACAGCACAGTTTATAAGAATACTACGTGGTGGTTTGCAGTAGCCTAATTATGTCGTCAATCGAATAAGCTATTTATATATTACACTCCGAGCTCTACTCTTTTTTACCACGCACTTGTGATTTAAAAAACATTAGAGGGAAAGTTAAAGCAATGTTTTTTTTCTAGTAACTACATTCATGAATATAATGCCTCAATTGTGTAGCCAGTTGACTGTTGTTGAATCTCGAACAGAACCAGTTCAAGAACCAGAGCTAATTTCATGGAAAAGGAGCACTCTTCTCTTCCTAATAGTTCCTCTTGGAGCTACGATTGCACATTTCAGTCTTTTTTAACCACTCATTGTACCTCCACTTAGCCTATTATCTTGCAGTCACATTTCAGCTTGTTACTAATCACTGATGTAGCAGGCTGAAGTGTTTTCATTTGACATTTTCTAAGATTTTGACAGTATTATATATTTTCAGAGATTCCAAAAATTCACAGTCTATATCTATTTGGGACACACAACAGTACTTCATCAAACATTTCAACAGGTTTCAGGTGGGGACTATGGGGCAAAGATCCTGGGCCATGTGGACTGACCAGAACACCACAGAAATGGCAGCGAGATAAACTTACAGATTTAACTGGCATAACCCCAAAGTTTGAAGAGTGAGGCTCTCAGGCAATCCCCCCCCCCCGTTTGAAAGCTGTGTAATCATATCAGAGACCTCTGAGCTCACCTCTGGTCCTTCTCCATCTGCCTCCTGCCTACAGACTGGATATTAGTAGTTAGTATTATATATATCACCATGATGACATGACTCTATAGGGGTAGGCTACAGTAAGTCATTTAAGCTGTGACTGCATGCCACTGTAGCTATAATCAAGCTATATAAACACTACTGCATGCCAGCTTGAACAAACAGCCCTGAGAACTGGTGTGTTCAATGGTCCATTTGTCCTTACTGGTTCCTCATTTACCTTTGTCTCAGTAGCTGACCAAGGGGCTGATAATGGATAACACATCAACAGGACATTAGGATCATGCCATTTCCCCCTCCAACCCTCACTTAACCACAGGCTGTCCTCCCCCTGCCGCCAGAATCGGCTAATAACCATCATGTATGGAAGTAGACACTCAGCACCGTGCGGTGTAAGGATGGCGTCAAGGTCATTTGAGGGTAACTGAGAAAATAACACGCCGCCGAAGCGAGAGCCGATCCAGCAAACTGTCCCATCACTGTTATTCCTCTCACACATGCAGCTACAGGGCGAGCAGTTGACAATTTAATGAGCGCTGTCTTAGAAAAAAAAATGTGTCGGCATCTAATCAATGATCTGCTGCAATCTCACATGAATGTGGCCACAACATGTGTGTTTGAGGAACAGTGAAAACAACCCAGATGTCTCAGTGCATTGCAGTGTGATACACTCTCCGGAATTACTGCACGTGTTAGCACCTCCGAATAACAATATCAACAACATCCTCCGCATACGGCATCATTCTGCAGGGTATGACACCTATAACTTACTGGAACAACAGCTATGCAATGTGCAAAAAAAAAAAAAAAAAAAAACATGGCAAATGCAAAACACTGGAGCACATGCATGGGGAAAGCAACAGCAGCAAAGAGAACAAGTGTGATTCTGACATTAAATAGTTCCTTAAATATCACACAGTCCATCATTCCAGCAGCATGGATTTCAAACTGAGGGTTACAGTAGTTGGAGCTTGTGCTGGTCTGTGCCATCCCATAGAGTCAAAGCAACGCGCCATGCATTAGATGTTCAAAGGGCTCTTTACCTGGTAGCTCAGTATGCTCTCGGGGTCGTTAACGGGCATGATCGTGGCCTTTTAACCTGCTCAGTGTTGACGGAGAGTAAAGGTGAGACTTTCTCAGGGGCTGATCAGCCTCTCGTCGCTCGTCTTAGGACGTTTTGAAGAAAGCAGTCACGAGCTGGTCACAGTAGCCACTTCTGTTTCTGCAGACATGTTGAGTGTAAACATCTCTTCTAGATGAGGAAAACGGCGAAAATGCTAATTGTTGCCCCCCACCCCCCCCAGTGTTATGATGATTTCCCGGCCGCGCTTCCAGCTTCCCTCCCTCCTCCTGCCCTGGCTGTGGGAGCAGGATGCAGCGAGCATCACGGCGGCCTCAGCCAATCAGAGCGCAGAGGCACTCAACGGCCTTCGACGCACTGCTGCTACCCAACACAATAAAACCAAGACTATTATAAGCTTATAGAGCGACGTCACCCTACATAATGTCCAGTTTGGCTGCTTCTCACATTTCAGCTGCTAACATGTGCTAAACTGTGACCCCTGAGCACTGCAAATGGTTTAGCTGTTGCTTTCTTTTGTACTTTTATTGGTCACTTATTCAAAAAACTTACTTGGGGTTTATTTTCTTTACTGGAAAGAAGAAGTGGTGGGAGAAGTAGCCCGATCCTTTACATAAGTAGCAATACAAATATACTGCATTATAAGTAAGTTACAATCCTCCTGCATTCAAACGTGTAGGGCCAACTTGAATAAAAGTAGAGATGTATCAACAGCAAAATATATGACAATTTCTTCTATTAATATAAAACTTTCAGACTTCTATATAATAAAAGTATAGGCTATATTAAGTAGACAGTACTTGTAAATAAAGTAGTTACTTTGCACCACTGAAAAAGTGTGTAATTGCAGGGTTGATACAATATAGATAATATTGCCCATTTACCCTTTCAATTAGGAAACGGGACATGGAATGGCGATATTGTCTTCAGCAATAAAACATGAAAGCAAAAGAGAGCAGTGAGCTCTCAAGATGAAAGAGAGAACAAGGACAGCGACACAATGCATCTGTTTGATCCTTTAACACAGTAGAACATACTAGAAAGCCTTGGATGCCACCCTGTGGGAAGGCAGAGCATTGCGCAAAGCAGGGTGTCTCATAATCCATGTACATGGTAAGCTCATGTGCACGTCTTAACAGAGTGACGGCGATAAAGGCTTATTATTGTAATTAGATGCAGGGCAGGCAGTTTCTCTTAAACCACTGCAGATGGTGGCCTATATTGACAAGGAAGCAAAAAAAAAACGAAACTAAGGAACAATATATTACACAGTGTTTAACCTCAGCTTGAACTCTTTCGATTAAAATGAGACCTGTCCTCCTGCCACATTGTGAAACACTTGATTGGACTTGGCTCAGCAGGTTGACCGTCCTCAACCAGTCGGCCCCTGTCGTTTACTGAGCACTGAGTTCAGATTGCAATCAGATACATCCACACAAACGGTGCATCCCTGCGGGTTTAATGCTTGTTGTGCAGGTCGCCTGCACGTGTAAGCCACACCGCAACCGATAGCGCCAGATAAGCGATACACTTTCTTCAACGCATGGCTAAAGGTGGTAGATTTTTCATCGACCTGCATGGCGTCCTGTTTCCACTGGGTACGGTTGTCGTGGCAACTGTAAACATTCTGTGGGAGCATGCACGGTTGTCATGGGAACGATCAGCGGGAGCATGAAGGAAGCAGGACTGAGCGAGTCTATGGGCAGAGTGGTCGGGTCACCGGGGAGGTGACAACATTAGGTTTGTATATTAATGTTCAACGTAAAATAACTCCTGATTTTGTTTTGTTTGTTTGAGGTGCAGTTTAGGAACAGGTTTTTATGCATGTGTAGTCGCTGACATAGATTACATACAGAGAGTTGGTCCGTAAATCCGTGGCCGTTCATCGTAGGTATAGCCAGATGTGTTTCCATAGTATAGCCGACATGTTTTTTTTGTTTTTGTGTATGCTTATGCAGGTCTGCCCGTGTGTGAGCGGGCGCGCACATTTTTGCGCATGGGTATGTCAGTGAGAAGCTATGACAGCCTCAGTCAGCTCTGTCCAGATTTAGATGCCTGCTTGACCCAATTTACATCTTCTTCAGTAGCTACAGAGCTCTTCATATTAACTTATGATTCATTTGAATAAATCTATAAATGATCTCTGTATAATACTATTCCAGTAATATGATGTTGTGAAAATAATCATATTGAACATATGTCTGCTCCCAGAGAACTGAACACAGTGTTGATCAGCTGAAGAGAGAACTAAATAAAAAAAAGTAACATGCAACAACTGCCAGGTAAGTATGTAACTGCACATACAAGTACATGCATGTGCACAGTTACTGTATGATGAAATTTGACCGGGCAATTTGTCTCAGTGTTACAACCCACAGTGGCTCCAGTGGAGGGGAGGTTTCGTCGCAGTGTGCCAAGCCTGCCAGCAATCAAGCCAGACAGGCTAAAAACAGCTAAAACACTGGTGGAGAAGGCGGTGAAGGTGATTATATGTACAAAAGCCTGCCTGTAACACCTCTGCATATTCCCCTACTGTCATCATATGTTGTGTGTGTGTCCTATTTGACTCTTTCTGTCTCTCATTCACTCATTCTCAGTTGAGGAGAGTGTTTTCAGTGCAGGGACCCTATCCTGTGATCCGTGCTGCCTTATGGGCCAGAGGGTGGGTGGAACGTCGTTTGCCCCATCCTGCCCAGAGAGCACCTCATTGCCAGGGCGATGAGGAGGAGGATGGTGATGATGGTGATGTCAGTGCTGGTGAGACAATGGATCTGAAGAGGACAAAGAGCTACCAGATCAGACATTTATTTTTTAGAAAGATGCAGTGTTCACGCCAATATCATCCTACTAGTTTACACTTTTCATTGTCTGAGTTCAATCAGTGATCTCCATTTTGTCTAAAAGAGAGGTCAGTAACATTCTCCCTTAACTGTCAGCGTACTTGGTTAGCATATATGTAACTGGAGCACTAGTTTAGATGGATAGCCCTTCACCTGATAAATGATACATTGTGTACCACATTACAGACCCTTACCCCTTTACCCCCTTTTACACATGAAAGCCTACACACACACAGGCACACACTCTTTACTTATCTCTTCACAGAGAGAGTGGATGAAGGCGAGAAAGACGAGAACCTTGATGACATGTATGACCTGATGGTAAGATAAAGTGAACCAACATGACACTGACAAGCAATTGAATGTGCTATTATTGTTATGCCGTCTTTACATCATTTCCAGGCGTCTTTGTTTTCCTCATTATTCTCAGTCAGCTCGCTTACATAACTTTCCCACAACCTTTTATAGTCTCGCCTGGTTCGAAATGAAACAACACACTTCTACTGGACAACACGTCGGGATGACATAGACTGTCGCTCCTTGAAGCATGACCAAATGACCAATCACTACGCAAACGCTGGAACATTCACTACCAAGGTATCATCTCTAAAGAGTTTCTAATAAGCAAAAATAAAAGTTACTTTATCTCCTATGTACTGTATATATTTGTGTTTCTTTCAGGTGGGGCTCTGTGTGAATCTGCGTAACCTTCAGTGGTTTGATACCGCAGATCCTGACACCTTCTTTCCAAGATGCTACAAGCTTGGGGCAGAGGATGAAAAGCATGCATTCATAGGTCTGCTGTATGGCTCTGTTAACACATAGCTCCATCAAAAATGCAATGATGTGCCGAGGTGTAAATGGAACATGGAAAAATCTCTTCTCTTTCTTTTGCTCTTGTCCCCTCATTCTGTTATGACATTGAAGAGGATTTCAGGAGGACAGCGTGCTCCAGCCTGCTGCAGCATGTGGTTGAGACAAGTAGATGGAGGAGAGACGAAGCAGAAGGCGAGAAACAAAAGGCCAAAAACAGTGTCTCTGATGGTAACAGATAGCTAAATAAATAAATTATGCAAACAATGTAACAATACTATGATACCAATCTTATTTCTCTCTACAGAGTTGGAGAAGATGGAGTGCCGATTTGTTGGTCCGGGGATAATCGACGTGGCTTTGCACGTGTGTCAAGAGTTTCTCAGTGTTTTAGAGCACGGCGACATTGATGTAACTGACGAAACACACCCCTCCGTGGGGGAACAGCAGTGGGCAGAGTTTCTACAAGACTACTACATGGTTGTGCAGTGAGTATGTTTTCTGGGTTTGCTAGAGCGATCTTTCTTAGGTCCAACTAAATTTATCTGTAGTACTGACAGTCAAAGTCAGCTTGTCTAATGAATACAAGTAATTAAAAACTTATCCTAAAATGTATCTATATGAAAAATCTACTGAGTTCTTATTAAGTGAGGTTAAGAATAGTGTCAACATGTATATGTCTTTAAATAGGTTTTCTTAACACCATCTAGAGTTCATGTTAGGATTCAGGTTGGGGTTAAATATAGAGTCAGGTTTCGGGTTTGTGTTACAGTAGAGGTCAGTGGAATGATACAGCATGTACTACTGTATATACAAATACCATTAAATATACCACATGCTAATATTTATGGTGCACTATTTTGGCAGTTGGTGTACAGGAAATCTGAATAGCCCTGTTTGTTTTTGCTTTTTAATGTTTTTTAATACCAGTTTTTGAAAAGAAAATTGAATGACCAAAAAATACACAGACCATTAATAAACTTAATCTGTGAGTCTGTGTGTTTGTGTGTAGTGAAGGTGCATCGATCAGGGGCAGGAGTGTTTTTGTGGAGCGCTGCCAGGCCATGTTAATCAGACTGCAGGAGATGTGCCCTCAGCTGGATACAGATGGACTAAATAACATCTGGATCATCAAACCAGGTGCCAAGTCAAGAGGACGAGGTGAGGCTTTTATTTAATGATAGGAGTTAGTTACATAGTAATCATATATATTAATCTTTTACTTCCTCTCTATTCTCTCTATATGTAATACTGAAAAATATAATATAATATAAAACATAGTGTGTTCTTTTAAGTTGTGAATATTACAGTTGCAACATGAGGTGTGACATGTGGGTGTTACTATTGCTTCCATTCTCTAAATTTAATTGGAAAAACTAAAATGATAATATACTATGATTCCTCTCAGCTTAAGTATGATAAAGGAATGTTAGTTTGCTATTTGTTTGAAGGTCATTAGAAACACCATGTTGCAGTCAGTAACACAGCAGTTTTTGGTGCTTTTTCTCCCATGTCATACCACCCACCCAGGTATTATGTGTATGGATCGCCTGGAAGAGATTTTGGCACTTGTGGACAGCGACAGAGTCCTG